GAATTGACAGGAAAGAAGGTTTTGGTTTCTGGAAGTAATAGAGAATTAGCTTTAGATGAGAGTCATTGATTGACAAGTTTTAGAAGAGTTGTTTAGTGGTAAAAAGGTTGGACGCAAAAAAAATAATGTTTGAACAAAAATCATACGAAATGTAGCGCAGCTGAATTCCCAATCATTCCAAGCGTGTCGCTGATCAGAGAGATCAATGTGTTATCCGCTTCCATATGTCACATAACGGGTGGTTTCTAACAAGTTTTCTGTAGTCTGAGAGAACAAAAATCGTGTTCAGAATTTTCTCGTAAGCTAGCTAACCAGTCAATTAGAATGCTTTACCAAACGATGGAATAGCTTTAAAGAATAGCCTTCTTATAAGCAAGGGAGTCTGGAAGGTGTAGTTGAGGACAAGATGGTGTTCTCGGATAGGAAAGGAGTATTATAAGTAGTCACTGATATTGAAGAGAGCAATAGGTTTAAGCCACAAGCGATCTCGTCTATGTGACGTTTGGACCGTACATAAACTGTCTTAAATCAAGCTGGCTATAAAACAGCCCCCCATGTGGAACTTCTCGGGAGGGGTACTTCACTATAAAGGCGAAATATATCTGACAGAAAGAATGGAGGAATGCATTGAGAATTTTGATTGGGTGCAAAAAATTGTGTGAATTTTTTTTTGGAAATTGTTAAAAAATCTCTTAAATGCAAAGAAAAGAAATGAAATGAAAAGTCTTAATACTCCAATCTTGAAAATATTCGTAAATTTGTACCTTAGGGGTACTTCTCATCCATTGAACGGAATTATTAAACCCTTTCAGTCGGGATAATTATGGAGTTGCTTTCGCCAATGCCTTGTCCGTTTGAAAATTTCGATTCATTTAGAGGAAAGGTGAATATTTTTTATGTGTGTTTCTTTCTAAATTAACGAGAACAATAAGAAACAGAAAAAAAAAAAGAATTGACAGAAATGCAACTTAAAAAAAAAATTATTATGTGGAACATCAGCATGTTTTAGAACACTTGAGTAAAGAATGCAACATGGATCCTGTACTCCTATAAAAAGATCTAAATAATGATTCCAACCGAGATTCTGGAGCGACTAAAACAGGCTCTAAAATCAAAAAGTCATTCGATCTTTGGATTAAAAACAGGCGAATTCTAAGAGAGGAATGGGAACCCATTCCGAAACCCACATTTCTAAAGGAATGACTTCACTTGCATGTATGTAATCAAGAAGTCATCGGAATCAATTTCTTCGGTGGCCAAGAATTCGTTTTGACATAATTTCCAAACAGTGGGAAAAAAACTCCTTGCGGAGCAAAACCCAAGATATTTTGGGTTCTGCTCTCATGTGTCCCATGCGTACTCCCGCATTTTACTAGTTTTCATTCGCTTCTCCTTTTTTAATTGTGATGTGGGATTATCGACTATACAACACTCTTTTAAAGAATGTGTTGATGTGTTTAATTTTATTTTATGAATGTGGTGGAAAATTAATTAAAGATTCCGATTGTTGAGTTATTGTTTATTTTTCGGTTCCACTAGCCCAAAAAAATAAATATACCCACGCCCACATTCACTTTCCCACTACCACCAGCTGGCGAAAAAAATGGACCCAATTTCGTACCAGTGGCCCCCCCCCCAACCAACGCACTCAGTGAAAAACCAATAAATAACACGTTTATTCACACACATAGAAGTTTATGTTCCATATTTCTTGGTTATATACTTTAGTTTTATCCTGCTATGGTTTCAGTAACCAAATTTGAAAGTGGTATTAGAAAGTTATCTAAAAATTTTATGCATTAAAATCACTGATTGTTTTACATGACTGTCGTAGTAACACAAAATTGAAGCGTAACTGGGAATGTTAATTGGAGAGAAATTTCTATTTTTAAGCGATTTTCAAAACCACCTCAGCCAGTCCATGGAGATTCCTTCAAGTCTCCATGTAGGACTACTCTTTCGCATACTTAGAAGACTTGATTAAGACTAACCAGAAATGTGATTCTATTTGGTTTTATTTTTAGCTTGATAAAAATAACCGTTGTGTCTCTTGTTTAAACGGTTTTGCAGTGTATTTGCAGCTGGTTTATTATTAAATAATGTGTATGTGGTTAATTAATTATCCTATTTTACACGACTTAATCAAAAAAAATAAATTTAAAATAGAAGGTCAACCAAAAAAAAAAAAAAATAATTTCTTGAATAAATAATTTCGAAAAATAAAATATAAAAACAATCTTAAATTCTCTCAATTCAAATTTCTTTCCATTTTGGTTTTTTCCTTCCTTTTCTTCTCTTCTTCTTCTTCTTCTTCTCTTTTCTGTAATTGACTTTTCTTCTCCAAATTACAATTGAAGTAAAATCTCATAATTAAAACGCAAATGTCTGCAGCTCCAAAGAAACACACAAAGACTCAATCATCTTACGTATGTATTTTACTAATTTCGGTTTATTTTTTTATTCCAATTGCAACGTCAGCAGAATCCTCCCTTTTTTTTTCCAGCAATTTTAAGGTTATTGCTAATTGCTTCATTTAATCCAATTGGTATCTAACTTGGCTGATCTTGTTGACTTTTTGAAATTGGATGGGAAATTCTTTTGTTTTTAATTTCGTTTTTAATTACATGGGCTCAATTATACTAACAGTTTTACCCCAGGCTTTTGACAATACCGCAACTACTGTTGCAGCATCTCAAATGCGTAACTCATTAAACGCTTTAGCTGATACTGTCGGTGATGAAGAACAACAAGAAAGATTTGAAAATGAAATGGATAACTTTTTCACTTTATTCAGAAGATATTTAACTGAAAAGGCTTCTGGTAACACTTTAGACTGGGAAAAAATCAGATCTCCAAATGCCGACGAAGTTGTTGCTTACTCAAAATTAGCTGAACCTGTAGATAGCTCCAGTTTATCTAAATTGGCCGTTTTGAAATTAAATGGTGGTTTAGGTACTTCTATGGGTTGTGTTGGTCCAAAATCTGTCATTGAAGTTAGAGATGGTAACACTTTCTTAGATTTATCTGTTAGACAAATTGAACATTTAAATAGAAATTATGATGCTGATGTTCCATTATTATTAATGAACTCTTTTAACACTGATGCCGATACTGCCAAGATTATTAAGAAATATCAAGGTCACAGAATTAGAGTTAAAACTTTCAACCAATCTAGATTCCCAAGAATTTATAAGGATTCCTTATTACCGGTTCCTGAATCTTATGATGACTCATTAGAAGCTTGGTACCCACCAGGTCATGGTGATTTATTCGAAGCTTTAGTTCAATCTGGTGAATTAGATGCTTTATTAGCGCAAGGTAGAGAAATCTTATTCGTCTCTAATGGTGACAACTTGGGTGCTACTGTTGATACCAAGATCTTACAACACATGATTGAAACTGGAGCTGAATATATTATGGAATTGACTGATAAGACCAGAGCTGATGTTAAGGGTGGTACTTTAATTAACTATGAAGGTGAAGTTAGATTATTAGAAATCGCCCAAGTTCCAAAAGAACATGTTGAAGAATTCAAGAGTATTAAGAAATTCAAATATTTCAACACCAATAACTTGTGGATCAACTTAAGAGCCATTAAGAAATTAGTTGAAGCTAATGCCATTGAAGCTGAAATCATTCCAAATCAAAAGACCATCAAGAATGACATTAACGTTTTACAATTAGAAACTGCCGTCGGTGCCGCCATTAGACATTTCAAGGGTGCCCATGGGGTTGTTGTTCCAAGATCAAGATTCTTGCCAGTCAAGACATGTTCTGATTTATTATTAGTCAAGTCTGATTTATTCTACTTGGAACATGGTGCTTTGAAATTAGATCCAACCAGAGATGGTTTCTCTAATCCATTGATTAAATTAGGTTCTCACTTTAAGAAAGTTAGTGGATTCCAATCAAGAATTTCTCATATGCCAAAGATTTTAGAATTAGATCATTTAACAATTACTGGTAATGTTACTTTAGGTAAAGGTGTTCAATTAAAGGGTACTGTCATCATTGTTTGTAATGATGGAGATAAGATTGATATTCCTAACGGAGCTATCTTGGAAAATGTCGTGGTTACTGGTAACTTGACTATCTTAGAACATTAGAGAAACTTAAANACCCCTCAACCATTTATTCATGCTTTGTTTTTCTGTTCTTTTCTATGCGTATATTTACCTCATCATTATATATATAAAAATTGTGAATAATTTGTAATTGTATTTTAATCAAAAACTCATTCGAACTTAATAAATTTGTACTCCCATTAAATGTTGTACTCATATTTCTATTAAGCTATTATGTAAACTATAAAAACCTTCTATGTAAATCCCAAACATTAAACTAAGCAACTAAATCTTGAGCTTCTTTTGTATCTTCATCACCTGTATAACTTTCCAAAAATTGCTTTAAAGCTTCTCTATGTTGTTCAATTTTGGTAGTTACTTGTGGGACCATTCTCTTAGATTCTTCCAACACTTCAATTTGTTTCTTGATTTCATATTCATCACCATTGTTTGCCTTCATTTGGGCAACATATTGTTCTTGTTCTGTGACTTCTTGTTGATATAATTTTTCTTCTTTGATTAATCTCTTCAAAGCACTGACTTTGATTTGAAGTGGACTTGGAGCCATGATGATTTGTAGGTAGTGATCGGTTCCTGGGAAGTCAATCAATTTTGACAACCAAATTTATTTTGTGTGGTTGTTGGCACACGGTGTGGGTCAAATTGAATTTTCATTTTCTCCTTTACACGACGCGCAGTTATTTATATACAGTACCAATGTTTTCGTTTCGTATTTTTTTTGCAGCAACTGAACCGTCATCTTCCCTTGAAGTATGAAAGCCAACCAAATGTCTACATAATATAAGGGACCAATCTCAAAAGCACATTTATTTTGGAACGGTTAAATATATAAAGGGTAAAACTTTTAAACAAAAAAACGTCCAGAGAGAAAATTTTCTTAATTAGAGATAAAAATATAGTGAAGATTTGCAGCATCCCATCCACCTTGACCATTTCCCTTTTCCAATTCTTCAAGAACCTTCTTAGCCTTGATAACAAAATACGTCTCTAAATCATCAATAACAACAATTGAATTGTGCCAAGGAGTTGGAATATGCAACAAGTCAGTATCTACAGGAATCTTATGGTCCATGATAGATTCAATTGGATGACATGGTTCATCACCAACTTTAGCCAACAATGAAATACCAAACTTAGGTCCAGAATTATTATGTGCATGAATTGAAAATCTCAAATGAAATGGAAACATCAATTCAACCAAATTAGAATAAGCATCATTACGTTTAATCATTTCAAAAGCAACTTTAGAAACAATCTTTTTATATTGTTTTCTACTCATCTTGGAAACTTTAGGATGGTGAACTAAATCTTCAGTCATAAACTTGGAAAATCCTCTAAATAAAGCTAGGCGAGAATGTCCAGGAGTAGTAATATCTTGTCTCAATTGACCACAATCAGTATCACATGTTGAAACCAAAATCTTACGACAAGTTTCCGATTCGGCATCTATTTCCGTACCTAGATAGTGACCCAATTCAACATCTTCAACCAAAAATTCTTCAAATTTGGAATTCTTCAAATTAAAAATATCAGGAAGGGAACAAAACTTAATTGGATTGGAATCAACTGGTTTGATACTCAAATACAAGTCCTTTAAAGCTTGAGAATACCTATTAACCTTCAAGTCGTCAACACCAATGCAATCACTAAACACATGTCCATCACTTACAATCCAAACAATAATACCAGGAGGATACACCTTCCCAACAGAATCTGCAAATTGAATCAACCGTCTCAAAGCCAATTCTTCACCTTTATCAGGCATTTCACCAGCAACCTTTTCAACATTCGAAGACTTACAAGGGAATGCTGGCAAAACTGCCTCTACCGGTTGCCAGCGAGATGTGAAAAAATCAATCCCCTTATTGAAAAATTCTCTACCCCCAAATTTCCATTGGTCATGTTCAACAGTATGCTTCAATTGGTCGACAAATATCTCAGAAATAGCATTTGTATATATTGAATAACCAGACAGTGGCACAGGTAAAGTTTCAAACTTCATTCTAGACAGGTCAACCATTAATCGAATAAACCAAAGTTCAAAATCAGTAACATTCAACTTAACAGTAAGTACTCCATTCCAAATTCCATCAATTGAAAGTTTTTCCCAGGCATAAAATTCATCAGAAATGGACAATTGAGTCAAATCATCACTATGATATATTCTATTACTAGAATGTTTCTTAATCAGGTCAAACATCCCATCCATGTCAAATCCATTAAAGGTACGAAAGGTTAAAAATTCATGATTGTTACGAGTATATATTAATCGAATATACTCATAAGTAGTTTTTGGGAGATCCAGATCTTCACTAACTGTAGTAACACTACTACTTGAATTTGACCTTAATGACAAAGTAGATGAAGACTCCATTGTTGGTTGGTTTTAAAAGTTTGTCTTTCCAAAAAGTCAATTCAGAGTGAGTTAAACATTAGTTTCAAATTCAAGGAGAATTTGCAGTCAATTTATACATCACAATACACTAAAATAGGTACTTGAAAATTGGTCTATTGTCAAAATCGCCAAGATATCACAAGGGACCTCTCATGTCAATGCAAGATCTGTTCTTTCTAAGTACGGTTATGCTTTCTTTTACCTTCCATTTTGTCTGCAGGTTCATTTTCCTTGGGAAACTACAGTTCCCGAATCATGGCAAAGATTGCTAAATTGGGAATATAATCAGCTTCTATAGATCCCTTAAAAGATTCTGGAACTTATATGAGATGTAAGAGCAAGTATAATTCATGTAATTTTATGCGAATCGGGAAAGAACTAGTAGCAAATCTTCGTTGTGAAAATCCATTGTTCGTTTATAGTATAACTAACGGTTTCCAGACTGGTACAAAATTGGGAGAATTTATAATTTCCTAATTTAAATTAATCATCTGATTATCGATTTGAAATGAGTAAATTAAAATTCAGCTACAAAAATGTAAGAATAACAGAATGGTCTGATTGTTGTTAAAAGCTGGAAATAAGTCCCAACCTTTTCGATTTGATTCTACCAATTACTGTTTCACATCAAACAAACATGATTTTTCAAATTATCAAGTACTCGATTATCGCCATCTTCACTTATATAGTATACACCATATTGGAGATTGTAATCCCGCCATTCAATTTCCCAAGGAATATCCCCACTATCCCCTTTTATGTTTCATTTCTTGGTGCATACACCAACTTGGATCAAAAGCAAATTTACAATATTTATCTTCGTGAAAAATTAGAGAAATATGGTGCTGTGAAAATTTATTTTGCTTCTAGATGGAATATTCTAGTTTCAAAGCCAGAGTATTTGATTACAATTTTTAAAAATGAAGATGTTTATGCTAAAAGTGGTAATCATATTAAGATTCCAGGAACGGTGTTGGCAAACTATACAGGAGACAATATTATCAGTGCTCATGGTGAGCTTTGGAGATTGTATCGAGAAGTTGTGGCTCAAAGTATTCAATTTCCTGATTTTGAACCTATTTATGAAAATACAAAATCGTTACTTGAAATGATAAATCACGCCACCAAGGAGAGTAACACTATTGCAGTTACTGATATTGTTCAAAGATATTCGTTACAAAATGCTGGTAGATCGATAATTGGGGTTGATTTCAAAGCACTCGGAAAATCTCCTTCAACTATGCATCAAAAAATAAAGTATGTCAAACTGCAAATTTTTGACCCATTTTACTTGAACTTTCCTTATTTTGATAAGTTCCCTATTCCTAGTAGATTAAAAGCTAAAAGGGAAGTTGACACTTTCAGAGGATGGTTTGGACAAAATTTAATTGATGAGCATAGCAAGGAACTCACAAATAGTGGTGCCACAAAGTTGGTTGACGCCTTCTTTGCAGAAAAATTAACTGAACAACAATATTTGGATAATGCAATAATTTTGATGGTTGCTGGGCATGAAAACCCCTTACTTTTGATGCTTTCATTATTGTACGTTGTTTCAAAGCACGGCGATGTGCAAGAAAATTTACGAAGCCATGCTGCCAATGAAAATGAGGCTTTCCTTCAGTCGGTAATATATGAGACTTTGAGAATGTTTCCCCCTTTAGGACAGATAATCAATCGTTGCACTACTAGAACAACTGTCTTGGGCAAAGATATAGTTATTCCAAAGGGTACTTATGTCGGTTACAATAACCTTGCAACCGGAAGAGATAGAAACATTTGGGGTCCAGATGCAGATGAATTCAAACCGGAAAGATGGGGTTCCACTATAGATGAAATTAATTTGAATTATTCAAAAGCCAAGAGATCTGCAAGACTCCCTGCTTTTCACGGCAGAAAGAGAGCATGTTTGGGTGAGAAGTTTGCGCTATTTGAAGTTAAGGAGTTTATTTTGAATATTATTAAAACTTATAAGGTTTCTTTGGATGAAACTTGGAATGAAAAAGTGACTCCTGCTGGTCCTATTTCTCCAATGGGTTTACGAGTCAAGTTTGAAAAGCTCTAAATTTAGAACTTCTGTAAATATTTTTTTAGTGTTTTCTTAAAATGAAAAAATAATTTGCGCAACCAAACGCAAAAAAATAAAATTAAAAATTAAAACAATAAAAACATTTTTTGTCAATTTGCAGTAATTTGCTCAACAGTGAGAATTTTTTTCTTGGCTCCTTTTGAACTAAGGAAAGAAGAGGTAATAAGAATTATGGATTCTTTCATACCCAATTGGGTCTGTTCCAATAATCGCTCTCATCTCTGATAGCGGACTCCTTGAAATTTCTCCTTCCTTGCAGTTCCTTACATCGTTAGAAACTCCCATTTTGAATTTAGGCAAAAAAACAAAGTCTATACTATCCATACCCCTGAACCAAGGCGATCAATACTGCAAGAAAAAGTTGGTTTCAGAGTACCTTATCCTTTTATTTAGTACCATCATTGAATATCTATGTCTGAAAATAGTTTAGAAGCATGCAAAGTTCCAGGTACCGCCAGTCCTGTTGACTTAGAGAAGCAATTGGACCTGAAACAAGAAACCAAACCACGAGTGCAAGAATACTGTGTACTTTCTTTCAAACGGAAAAGCTTTATTGTTGGTATTGTAACTTTGGCTGGATTCTTAGGTCCAGTATCAGGAAACATCTACATTCCTATCTTGCCAGAATTAGAAAGAGTTTTTGGTGTCTCTACTACAGCCATTAATGGAACAGTATCAGTATTCATGGTTGTTTTTGCCTTTGCCCCTTTATTGTGGGCTAGTTGGGCCGACTTTGGTGGAAGAAAAGTGTTATACTTGATATCCTTGGTATTCTTTATTATAGCCAATATACTTTTAGCTACAGTTCCTGCCAATATTGGTGCACTTTATGTGTTGAGAATTCTACAAGCTTTCGGTGCATCTAGTGTTATGTCCGTCGGTGCTGGTACTGTAACAGACATTATCGAACCCAAGAATAGAGCAAAAGCGGTGTCGTATTTTATGTTGGGACCCCAGCTTGGGCCCATTTTGGGTCCTATATTCTCGATCATTGCTGCCAGTGGAGAATGGAGATGGATTTTTGGGTTTTTGGCATTGCTTGGTTTTGTTGTCTATATTATCATATTAGTCTTTTTACCTGAGACTTTAAGGTATTTAGTTGGAGATTGCTCTTGTTATCTTGGAACTTCACTCTTTGTGAAGCCAAGGATTTGGCAAACTAAGATTGTAGAAGACAGTCCAAGATACCCAAAACCTCCCAAACCTAGCTTAAAAAACTATTGGAAAATCTTTAAATACAAACCGGTTATGCTCTGTTCAATCAATGGTGGTATCTTGTTTGCAACATTTTATGGTGTAAGTGTTACTTTTACCCAAGTATTACAGACTCAATACGGTTTTACAAATTTACAAACTAGTATTTCCTATATATGTCCAGGATTGGCTATGGTTGCTGGTTCAATTATTGGTGGGTGGTTGTCTGATAAACTTAGAGCAGATATGATTAAGAAAGATCCTGCTTCCTATATTCCAGAGAAGAGATTTTCACTACAATTTTTTGGTTTACTTATTTCTATGGCTGGTGTAATTGGATATGCCTGGAGTGTTCATAAACATATTCATGTTGTTGCTATATTCGTCTTTACATATTTAACTGGGTTTGGTATGACTTGGGTTTTCGTTGCAAATACAACTTATTTAACTGAATGTTCTAGTGGTCAACCAGCCACTAACGTCGCAATTGGAAATTTCTTTAGAAATATTGCAGCCGCTATTTCTTCGGTCATTATTGATAGACTTGTCGAAAAGATGGGTTTCGGATGGTGCTTTACCGGTCTCGGCCTATTAGACTTGATTGGAATTGGATTTGTCTTTATATTGTTAAAATGGGGTCCTAAATGGAGAAGAGAACATGAGCAAAATAAATAACCATTTCAAGCTGCAAATAATTAAAGTTTTTTTTTGCGCTTTTTTTTTCTCTTTGTTAACTTTATTTTTTCTTCTTTAGTTATAAAATTATTTTTTAGTTATAATTGCAAAATGATTTCAATTAGAAATCAAAACCAACAATTTAAAACTTCCTCGTTGTATGTAATTAGATTCAATATCTTAAAGCCAGTCAAGGGACAATTCGTTAGATTGCTGGGGCTATGTACAAGATATCCATGCTGAAATTCAATGCAAATCGTCATATTCTTCTAGGTTTTGTAGCATTTTGCGAGTGGTAGCACCGTATCCTTTCTCTGTGAGCAAGATAATGCAATATGCTCGTACTTGTTTATAGAATTGAAACCTTAAAACAATATATTTTAGTAAAATACTTATAGGGTAAATTAATTTGCTCAAAAATATGCTTCTTTTGTACGAAGGTCAGTGAATGATTTATTGGTGGTTCCTAGCTTTATTAGCAAGCGTTATAAAAGGGTTAGAGATTTCTGATTTTTTATTTTAGGTACTTACTTTCTTCGAGAATCTACTTTCTGTTTCCAACTATGTCACAGATGCCGGAGGTTTCTATTGAAGATAATCCTAAAAAAGCTACCAGTTATGACTCAATTGAGGTGCAAGAAGTTGAAGAACCCCAAGAAAACATATGGAATAGGAAAAGCATCTATCGTTCATGGTTGTTACTATGCTACTCAACTGGGCCAGTTGCATCTATGACCAGGACATACGTTCCAGCAGTTATCCAGTCGATTGGTAACAGAATAGGACATTCTAGGAACGGGGGACCATGTTCTCGTCGAGGAACTGATTGTTATGTCCGCTTCGGTGGTGGTCAAGTAAATAGTACATCATATGTATTATATGTGAGAGCTATAACTACTGCTATTGAAGGGGTGGTTACACTTTTCCTAATGGGAATAGCTGATTATTCCAACTATAGGAAGATATTCTTGATTGGATCTATATTATTGTATGGAGCATTTGCTTTACCATTCGCAGGCATGACAGGTAATAACTATCCTACATTGAAAGCCGTGACAACACTTTATATATTATTAGGAATTGACGACTCAATTTATCAAATTATTGAAGGCTCTTATATTCCCAATTTCATGAGGGCTGCAAATACACCGAAAGGCACAGTTGCTGAAGAAGTCAGAAAAGATATGATTTTGAAGAGAGGTTCTGTGGTATCGGTTATGGGTTTGTTTTTGGGAAACCTTGGTGGGTTAACTGCTTTGTTAATAGGTATCATAATTAGTTATGGAAGAGGTGGTCCGATGACAGATGGATATCATAACTTCTTGTTGGCTATTACTATTGCTGGTTGTATGACTATGGTATTTGCGTTGATTTCAGCTTGGTTTATTCCAAACGAAAAGGGCAAAGAGAAACCTAAAGGTGAAATCCTATTACTTCTTTCAGTTAAAAGGTTCATTAAGTTGTTAAAGGAAATCAGAAGATATCCTAATGCTTTCAAATATTGTATTGCATGGGTTATCTGGAATGTTAGTTTTTCCAACTTCATGAGTTTGTTTGTCCTTTTGTTTAGAAGTACATTGGGACTTGGAAGTTCAGATGGAGAGTATACAGTTTATACTTTCATGTCATATCTTACTGCTTCCATGGGATCAATAGCTTGGATGTTTCTTTACCCAAGAGCTGGAATCAAAATCAAGTCTTGGGGATATGGTTTCTTGCTTTTCTCCCTTTTCACCAACTTCTGGGGATGCTTAGGTATAAGTTCAACTACAGCGGTTGGATTTAAGAACAGGTGGGAATTCTGGGTCTTTGAAGTTTTTTATTCAGCCTCGAGTTCAGCTTTGAGAAGTTTGAACAGATGTGTCTATTCAACATTATTACCTGAAGGTGACGAAGCACAGTACTTTGGTTTGGAAATTATGTTAGGTATTGCAACCGGCTGGGTTGGTGGATTGGTGAATGCAACTATTCAAGATAGAACTGGTAATGCAGCTATGCCATTCTTGCCAAATACGTTTTTGGTTGCAATTTCTATATGTTTGTATTTTACGGTTGATTTTGAGCAGGGAATGAAAGATGCCGAAAAAATGGTTGAAGAATCTGAAGAACCTTGCTCTATTGATAATGCATCTCAAGCAAAATGATTATTATTTGCAGGACCCATTTACATAGATGGCCCTTCTCTTTATATATAGAGTATCTGTAGCTTTAGATAAATGACTTTTGAATTGTTCTTGTCCTCCAATGGAGATACTTCTGTTCACTTTCTTACCACGAAATTCAACCACCATTAAAAATTTTTATTCCTCTTGGCCTATTGGGAACCATTTCTCTTCTTCAAAGGATTACTCTATGAGGAGCTTAGCTTATTGAAAATTATTTTGGAGTCCTGAAATATATCCCCAATAGAAAATGTATTTTTGTAAAAGCTATCTTACAAAGGATTTAATTTGCTGGTTTCCTCGCTAGTGGAACTGATGAAACGACTTTCACATAAACTTTTGCCTAGTTATTCATTGATCTGAACCAATTTTAAAACAGATTTCAAAAAGATAAACTACATAAATTTGGATGCAAATTGTGAAGACGTTTTTTGCAGCCATTTTTTCACTTTTCTATAAGTTTTATACCAAAAACTTCAGAAATTGATTTCTCGTCCAGTAATTTCAATCTGATCCTAGGAACACAGTAGGATTAACTAAAGAATCAAGGAGCATAGTACCACTATCTATATAGTCCAAAACTTTATAAAGAAGGGTACTATTTTGCCCAAAATCGATAAATCCTTTTTCCCGAAATAAAATAGTCCGGTCACATGCCAGAAAAAACTTCGAAAAGCTTCGTTCCTCATGGCCCAATGGTCAAGGCGTCTGGCTACGATTTCGTAACCACTTCTCGGTTGGAACCAGAAGATTCCAGGTTCGACTCCTGGTGGGGAAGCTTCTTTTTTGTCATTTTTTGAATGGTGAATCATACCATTCACATTGAAATTGATCCGATCTGATATGTTATCATCTTCTGACACGAAGGGGATTGGATATATTTGAATTTTATTGCAAATAATTCATTCTTAACCCCCGTCCCCGCCCCGATTTGCTAGTTGAGGTCAGTATGTGTTTGTCATAGATGTGGGCTGCGTCTTTTTCTGAAAATCTTAGAATTTAAATGCTGTGAATTTGCAACCTTTTCTCCTTAACTGTTTTCATTGATTAGGATGCCAGTGACTTCCTGTAGACCCGACAGAAGAAGAAGAACTAAATGGAGATGTAGTTTGAATGGACAAGAGAAATTTGACGACAAGAAATTTGGTGATCAGCGGATTGTCCTTCCGATCGACAAACGTCCACCTCGAACTTTATACGAGGGAGAATCGCCAAAAAAAAAAAAGGTCTTGAAAAATCAGTTGATAAAATTAATTTGTAATTAATCACACCTTCTTTTTATCAATTCTAACTACAACAATGGCTCTTGGTGCTCCTATAAACATTAAAAAATGGATTGAAGAAAATTCTCACCTCTTAAAACCTCCAGTGAACAATTACTGTCTTCACCGTGGTGGATTCACAGTTATGATTGTTGGTGGACCAAATGAAAGAAGTGATTATCATATCAATCCAACTCCTGAATACTTCCACCAATTGAAAGGAACAATGTGTTTGAAGGTTGTTGACGATGGTGAATTTAAGGATATTTTAATTCATGAAGGTGATTCCTTCCTTTTACCTGGAAATACTCCTCACAATCCATGTCGTTTTGAAGATACTATTGGATTAGTTGTTGAACAAGATAAACCAGAAGGTGTCAATGATAAGATTAGATGGTACTGTTCCAAATGTCAAAACATTATCTACGAAGAGGAATTTTATTTGACTGACTTGGGTACTCAAATTAAAGATGCCATTGTTAAGTTTGATGGTGACATGGATGCAAGAACTTGCAAAGAATGTGGAACATTAAATTATTCTAAAAGATAGATAAGATAAGCAATGTGAAGATTATAAATATATATATACATGAATTTATTATGACATTTATGAAGGTGTATAGTTTAGCGAGGGTTTAAAAAAATGAAACAAAATGGGGAGTTTACTTTATTCAAATTTAGATTTGTTCTTAAGGTTTTCATCCTCTTGAAGAGTCAGACTTATATTCTGATTCTTTCTATACAAATAATATTCTTCACCTTTTTCAAATGACCAATCAACCAATTTCTCAATTGGTTTGTCAAACACATAAGGTAACAAAGGAACAATACCTAACCCAATGGCAACTGGTCCATAAGTACGCAAAACCTTAACTCCAGTATTCTTAAATAAATAGGAAGAATAACGCACAGCTGAATGAATTGTCAAAGCAGGCAACATCATAGAAGCGATACTTTGAAAAATACCTCTCTTTAAGGCTACCAATCTCCAATCACTATCAACTAAGCTATGGGACCCAATAAACTTTTCAGAAGCTTCTTTGTCAGCTTCTGGTAACTTATCCCATGGTCTTAATCCAGGAGCAAATGTACCTTCCACTTTACGTTTAGTTATCCAACTAGCATAGGATACATCTCCAAGTATATATAACCAAGAAACCGAATATCCAAATTTCACAAGATAAGGATGAGCGACAGGACGGAACGATTCTCCAATATCCGAAGTATAAGCAACATATCTATGCGAAGCTTGTAATAAAGTTCTAAATCTATTAGCATAAGCGGCATACCTAAGACCAGCTTCTTGTTCCGTGAGTTCCTCAGAAAGGGGAATTTCTTTGGTTGCCATTGTCAGGGTATTAGTATTAGATGACATTAGTCTTGTATAATTTAATGTTCTATAATTGTATTGTAGAATGTATAAAAAGAAGAGAAGAAGAGATTAAAATAGAAAAAAGCAACTTTATCAAATGAGCAAATGATATCTCTATTTATATTTCAAGAATAATAATAAATGAATAAATTTACTTTGTACTTTTTTCGCCATCAAATTACGTTTAATTAATATTTTGCCATCATTGTTCTAATTCTCGCTCTTAAAATTCCCATGGCAATCTTTTTTTGTGCCCCTGGCAATTTTTATTGGCTAGATAAAATCAACGTAAAAGGAGGCAGGTAAACACAATGAAGTTTATATTAGTTATACGATTTACCAATTCATTATCATCATCTGAACAAGTTGAAGATTTATCTATACCGTTATCAATTAATTTCGATAAAGGTGATATAAACAAATTAGTCAATGTAGTTTGGTTAAAGACAACAATACGAAGTAAAGTGCGACAATGTTCTCAGAATAGATTAAGGTTAATATATAATGGAAGAGTACTTAATGAAAATACAGACTTCAAGAAAGAAGTGTTCCAACCAAGATTGAATAGACACGACGAAGATGAGAATGTTGAAGAAGATAAGAAGATCTATATTCATTGTGTAATTGGCGAGAAATTAACGAGGGCTCAATTGAATCAAGAGAATCAACTAGATAATAGACCACAAGAGGTTTCAACCGCTCCGGAAGTCATCGGATTTGATCGTTTATTACAACAAGGGTTTTCTCAAGAAGATGTGAATCAATTACGACGTCAATTTTATCTGATTTACGGAACTGAATTAATAAATAATAGAGGTCGTGGAAGTAGTGAGATCAGGGATTTGGAAGAAGAAGAAGCTAGGCAGAGAGCATTACGACAACTAGAAGAACGTTGGATAGAATCAACTGCTAATAATAGTGCTGGAAATGCCACTGTCGAAACAACACAACAGGAAAATCAAACAGGTGATCAATTCCAGCAAGTGCAAGTACCGCAACCTCTGTTGGATTTGAATGAAGCCAATATGAATGAAGACATCCTAATCGGTGTTCTAGTAGGGGTCACACTAGGAGTCTCTGCAATCGTCTTCTTACTTGTTGATTCAACTATGTTTAATCCAGCACGTACAAATGCAGTACTTGTTGGAATCGCAATAAACATAATTCTAGCAATCTCAAGAAGTTTGATGAATATAGAATAGCATATATATTTACATATAAATTTGGTATGTTTGATCTACCAGCCCTCACTAATTTTCATATAGCTTAATAAAAAGATATGGGTAAAAAATAATGAAAGGGCGTTAAGATGATCGTTAATGGGTCCACATTGCTGCGGATGTTACTCTCGCCAGAAACTTGACGCTCGCCAACTCGTAGGGATATCTGAAAATGACAAGCAACACGGTAATAGATCTGGCTGCCGCACGAAGAAAGAAGGTAAGAAACATTCAAAAGATTTTGAAAATTTTTTCTCTTATTTATACAACGGTCCATCCATCGTTGCACTCAACGGAAAAAATGTAAATTGCCATTGTTACCCGGATTTATTGTTTTTTTATCAGGGTCTAAAATGAAACTGTTTTTTTTGCAACAAATGAAGGAAGAATCTTTTGCAACACCTCAATCAGTCCCAAAGATACAATGGTCAATGGGGTTGCCATCAAATAATGATCCTGGAACTGAGTAGAAAAAGCAATTCCATACAAATGATAAGCTGGTTTCAATTTTGTTGTCATTTGGTCTTTGTATTTCCATGTTTGAATTGTAATATTTTGCAACACATTGTTACATTCATCTAGGAATTGACTTCATTGGACTATGAATCGTGTACTACAGGGAAATGATTCATATTCTTAAATGAAATATAGCATGAATCTTCAATTCGAATGCTCAATCTACGTTGACCATATAATCCACTAACTTTTGTTTTAGGTAAACACATTTCCAAGTTCTTAAAGGAAATCTCAGTCACCTATTCACGTTGTATTTTTGATGACAGCACTTCTAATTCTCTACACAAGGGAAATCAGGTTTGTGTCGAATTCAAACATTACTGATTACTGTCGTACGATTTGCAAAAGGAGTATAATTAATTTATCCAACACATAGGGAAAACCATTTATAATTGTTTCATCATGCATGACATGACATATATGTCTTGACACTGAAGATTAGAATCTCATCCACTTCTTATATCAAAGGTTTGTAATCATATTTGTAGAGTACGTGCCCGACTAAAAAGCGGTTTCTTGTCATTCCATCAATTTAGAGCCGTTACATATGCCAAAAAAACAAACCTGGCTCCCCACCTCACATTTCCGAGGGTTAAAGTCGCGCTAGATCCAGCGATCTAAAGCTTAGACAGAAGTGAACATTTTAGGGTTAATTCTCCAAGAAAGACGCTCCCATTTAAATTAGCCACTTATTCAATAATCAAAGAGGCAGCATAATTACCAGTGCGGTTCAATTTGTTGCAAATCCGTATACATAAATCTTGTGAGGCTTTCGGGTAAACCCGGAAATGACTAGATTCTGAAATGCGCACGACAATACGAGAGCCCTATCGCCGCTACCGGGTAAATAAAAACAGTTGCGGAAATACAGGAAAAAGACACACCATTGCAAATGCCAATAGAAGATTGAATTGATAGTATGCTTAATAACTTCAAGACGCGACTGATATTAACAATTATAACTTCAAAATCATGTGATATTAAGTAGTTTGGTTGGGAATTTTCTTATCTCCAGAAAAGGGACTCAACGCTGACCTAAAAATTTTTTCCAATCCGTCCCCCCACTTGAATTTTCCCCCTTCCTTTTCTCCTTTTGTAATTGTTTATTGTTTGTGGAAAATTATTCAAAATTTACCGCCAACACTTTTTAAAGATCCTCGAGGGCGAAGGTTCGAAAAAAAAACTTTTCCTCTTTTTGATGTTTTTCTTAGAGATCTTGAACAGGTTCAATCCATTGCTGTTTTAATTCCAATTGGTCCATTAGCTATAGAAGGATAAAGACGTTCAGAGAACACATTCCAACCATTGATAATTTCCGAGTCATTATACATAATAGATACTATACACAACTAACGTTACTATAAAAAACATTCCTAATTACGAACACGATGTCTGATCCAAAACCATTACCATTTATTTATCAGTTTATGTCTGGTGCCATTGCTGGTGTTTCTGAAATTCTTGTTATGTACCCATTAGATGTGGTTAAAACTAGACAACAATTAGATTCTACTAACATGTACAAAGGTACTCTCAATTGTATACAGAAAATTATTAAGGAAGAAGGATTCTCTCGTTTATATAAGGGTATTTCTGCTCCAATTTTAATGGAAGCTCCAAAGAGAGCTACCAAATTCGCTGCTAATGATGAATGGGGTAAATTCTATAAAAATTTATTTGGTGTTCATAAAATGACTCAACCATTGGCTGTTTTAACTGGTGCAACTGCCGGTGCTACCGAATCTTTTGTTGTTGTTCCTTTCGAATTAGTTAAGATTAGATTACAAGATAAAACCACCACTTTCAAAGGTCCAGGTGAAGTTGTTAAACATATTATCAAAGAAAATGGTATCTTAGGTTTATATAAAGGTATGGAATCTACTGCTTGGAGACATATTTGGTGGAATGCAGGTTATTTCGGTTGTATTCATCAAGTTAGATCATTAATGCCAAAGCCAAAAGATGGTAAGGAAAAGATTTTAATCGATTTAACTTGTGGTACTATTGGTGGTACTTTTGGTACTATTTTAAATACTCCATTTGATGTTGTCAAATCTAGAATTCAAGCTGGTTCTACCAGATATAGATGGACTTATCCTTCCATTGTTTTAGTTGCCAAGGAAGAAGGTTTTAGTGCATTATATAAGGGTTTCCTTCCAAAGGTTTTGAGATTAGGTCCAGGTGGTGGTATTTTATTAGTCGTTTTCACTGCTTGTATGGATTTCTTCAGAACATTGCACGAACAAAAATAAAAGAAATTGAGGATATAAAAAACACTTTATCTTTATCGATTGATTTTAGTAATATATATATACATTTCTACTTACCCATTCTTACACCATTTGGTTGATATCTATACTACTGGTAGTAAAGTCGTTTGACTGTTGTAGTTCTCTTAGCGGTATTACAAAACCCCACAAAAAAAAGAAATTGATTAAGAAAAAAAATTTTCTTTATCAGTGTGATTTTATGCGACAAATTAACAATATTGTGCCGTGGGATTTCGTAATTGAAACACAAAAATTCTTTCTTCTTTCTTTATTCCCCATTCTTTCTTTATTCAAGTTAATCTCTTTTGTAATTAGAAAGAGATAGCTAAAGAGTTAATTAATATCCACGAAGAAATAATTGCCATGTCGTATAGGGGGTATATGTCCGCATCAGCACCTGCACCATCACCAGCCTCCTCGGCCACAGCTAACGGTTACACAGGTCCCAACTTAAATGTAACCTTACTTTGTCCAGAATGCAAACAATTCCCCCCTGATTTAATAGAAAGATTCAGTGAAGGAGATATAATATGTGGAAATTGTGGACTTGTACTCAGTGACAGAATAGTGGACACCCGATCAGAATGGCGTACATTCAGTAATGATGATCAAAATGGAGATGATCCTAGTCGTGTAGGGGATGCTGGAAATCCCCTTTTGGATCAAGAAGATTTATCAACCATGATTTCATACGTTCCGTCAAATACTAAAGCTGGTCGAGATTTAACTAGAACACAACTGAAATCGTTGGTGGATAAGAAGAATAATGCATTGACTTCGGCATATATCAAAATTGGAGAATTGTGTAATGTTTATCAATTACCGAAAACTGTTGTAGATGCTGCAAAACATTTATATAAAGCCGTGAGAGATGATAAACTACTCAGAGGTAAGACTCAAGATGCAGTAATGGCAGCGGTTATATTATTGGGATGTAGAAGAGCAGATGTACCCCGGACATTGGAAGAAATTAGAGCATTAACAAATGTTCCTTCTAAACAAATTGCAAAAGTGGCAAGATTAATTAAAAAGATTATTCATTCGCATTTAGTAGCAAATCCACAATCATCAATCGTAGAGGAAACTACCAGTTTAACTACCCATTCTGCAGAAGATTTGATCCGAAGATTCTGTTCTCATTTAGGATTGGATCCACAAGTGACAAATGCGGCTGAACATATTGCGAGAAAATGTCAAGAGCATGGGATTTTGGCAGGAAGATCTCCTACAACTACTTCGAGTACAGCAATCTTTTTGGCTGCCAAAGCATTTGGAGTAGATATTACTCAGCAGAAGATCAGAGACAAGACTGGGGTTAGTATTGGTACAATCAAGAATTCATATAAGGTGATGTTTGAGAATAAGGAAAAATTAATCGATCCATATTGGATTGAATCAGGAAAAGTTAAATGGGAGAATTTGCCCAAGAGTTAGTATACTGTATATACATTATAAACTTTATATCCTAATTAATAACGCATTCTGAAGAATTTCAATCATTTCTTTATCTTCTATTGTTTGCGAAGACAAGTATTCAAACGTTTTCGTGTTCATGTATTCTCCAGTGGGTGATCTTTGGATTTTTGAGCTTTCTGAAATGAACTTTGTAATCTCTTTGACAAACTGTGGGGAATCAAAATCAAACTCAAGAACAACCGGCGCCTTATTTTCTTCTTCGGTTTGCGACTCCTGCCTGGAGAGATGGAATTTCTTATTAAAGTGGTTCATACAATAACTCAACCTTGAAGTATCAGCCAATCGAAACTTGTCAATAAGTTGTTGTATAGCTTCAAAATTTAATAATATATTATAAACCAAACTATAATTAATTGAGAATCTTTCACTAGAACCAAAAATACTAGATCCAATCTCTTCCTCTGTCATTTGTACCACCAAGCTGAATCTTTTATCTAATAACAAATCAACAATCAAAAGACATTCCTCAACTAAACATTTCAAAACTTCTTGATTCAAATGTTTCGAATTAAGTATATCCGGCTTCTTCAAGAATTTAATCAATCCGAATAAACTATTATTGAAAGAATCCCAATTATACCTACCTAATTTAATTGCTGGATCTTGTTGGAATTCCGTCAAGATTTTATATGTCAAATTCAACCCCAATCTAAAATTAACCAAATTTAATCTATTAGTTAAATTAAACCTAAGTAAATTCTGAACACAATCAAGAATATAAAATAAACTTGATTTATACCCCTTTTTACCAATATCAAGTGGGATATATGGTAATTTTTGATGACATAATTTCCATTTATATTCATTAATTTGAAATGTCTTTAAATTATTCACTTGACTAGTTGTGATATTCATTAATGAAAATAAGATTATTTTTGTTAATGTTTGAGTCACCGGTGATCGATATTGATATTCAAATATATATGACAGTAAACAAAGGAATATTTCCAACATTTCTAAATATTTCATTTCTTCTTCAGTACGAGCTTCTATATCTTTATAATATTCATATTTTTGCTTGGTTAAAATATTCAAAAAACTGGAGTTTTGGGTTAGTGTATATAAATTCAACATTACTGGTAATAATTTCGATAAATCAAAATCACGATCTTCATGAACACCTTTCTTTTCCAATTGGGTCATTTTTAATTCATATATTCTTTGTAGATCTTTCAAAAAGAAATCAGTGCCTTCTTCCAAGAGACTCAAATGTTTGTTGGACAGATTCGCAACCAAAGAAAGCGTATCACAATCTGAATAAAGATCGGTTTGGAAAGTTAGCCAACTCAATATAGAATTTCTTTCAACTGCCATTAAATCAGGACGAAATTGATAACAATAATTAAATTCCATACAGAAAATAGGTAAGAATTTCATATTTAATTCTTCATTAAATTGTTTCCAATCGTATTCTTTACTGAATCGAGATATTTTCTTATATGGATTTATGGATGTAATTGAGGTGTTGGTAATATCTGAACCGATTACTCTGTCAGGTAATACACCTTTTGGAGTGTTTGTCATTGCACCCAAGAATAAATATAATGTTATTAATGTTTCTGCTGACAATCTGACCTTTGGCGGGAAATACTTTATGCTGTCATCATCTAGAATTATCTCTGTAGGACTGGTTATTCTCATTAATGATTCCATTACCCCGGAAAAGTCAACCTCGTGGAAGGTATACAATAGTTCCTTGATTGTGTTGAATTCCTCATCGGATGAAGAAAGGTTTTGGGTATGGATTGAAAGATAGAATGATCTGACAGTTTGAGTAAGGAAGTAGATGGACTCTTTTAACGCTGAAAGAAACACGAAATTCAGCTCATCACTTTGCTCGATTTCTTCAATACAACTTTCCATATACCATTTTAATCTAATTAATAAATCAGTCAACCCGGATTTGTTCAAGTCCCAATTAGAAAACAACATTGCAATCAAATTGGTCTTATTTATAGAAACAACACTACGTGATGCTTTCTTGATACTATTAGATGACTTGACAAGACAATCAAATAATACATCAAATACTTTCAATGTATTAATAATTAACTCAACCCTAGATTCATCATTCAACTGATCAAAATCTCTGGCTGAAGTAAGATCTTCAGCACTTGCCAGTCCCAGACCACTGTCAACATTACCCAATCCACTAGAAGTACTTTGATTTCTTGAATGAGCACCGGCACCACTCAAGGTACTAAGATCATCACCGTCATCATCGGGACTTACTATTTGTGTACTTGAATTATTTAGCGGAAGTTTGACACCAAGCTCAGCTAGATCATTACCATCGTCATCGCTTGAAGCAGAAGCAATTACGGGTTGTGCTTGTTGTTCTGGGGATAAGGGAGCATCTGAACCTGTCAGTTCCGGGTATTTAATTGCATCACAAAAGACATCTAATCCAGTTTGATAAATAATTTGAAATGTTTTCAATTTTCTATCAGAATCAATAGAAGATGATAGAATATCTTCAGCATTGGATGTTAATACTTCAACAAGATCTTCCTCGTTAATGATGGTTGTAAAAATTGCTTTATAAAATTGATCATCATTAAATTCATTAAAGATATCTGAATATAAACTATGTTGATATTTATGATTCATTGTCAAGTCTGTCAATTGTCACCCTCTGTATCTCTGTAATGTATCTGGTCCCTATAAGTTACAACTGTCTGGATGTGTTGTCTCAAAAGGATATCCCCTAGTAGGATTACGGAGGATTGAAAATAATTTTTGTGTCAATTTTCACTTACATTATCTCAACCTGTAAAAAAAATAGACATTTTGCATATTGACTTATATTTTACATGTTAGTCCAATGACACCTGTAAAATAATTTTCAGGCTCGTTTGGCGTCCCAATTAGGAAATAGGCAAAGAATCTACCATTACTTTCTTAGAGTGGTACCATTCATGTATGAAATTATATGGAATGGTTACATTTTAGAGATTATAAGTATTAGATACATAGATTATTACAGTTAGACATACCATAAACCTAATCTTTACAGTAATTCCTATTAGTAGAATGTTTACGCGAAGTGATGGGCCTTCACCAACAGCCGAAGAATATGAATTGGTAGATGCACAAGATTTCCATGAAGACTTAGAAGCAGGAGACATAACAACCCAAGCAGGAAGTTCATCTGAAGAACCGCTTACACGACTGCGCTCCTCAGCTGATTCGGATTCTTCCGACATCTTTCAAGATATCAGCAATTATGCATCCAAACAATCACTTGAAATTGACGATTTTCATACGAGCCCAACGTTTCAATCAATATATATGCGATATAAGAAACAAGGCTTCAGTCGAAAGTTTTGTATAATATTTGGTCTTGTAATACTAATCCTGTGGATTGGTAGTGTCTTGCTATATTCACAACTTCCACCGCTGCAATTAGTATCGAAATTTAAATGGCAAACTGATGTTACTGTAAGTGGACAAAACATAACTTTGAATGAGTATAGTCCAAATTATAAGAATATAACAATAGGCAGTGTATTATCAGGTAAATATGCCACATTTATGGAATATGTCAGATGGTTACTGCCAAAACAGTATCCAAAAACAAATGAACAAACTGGTGGATATTATATGACAATGGACCCAAAGGGAGAACTTGTACTTAAGAATATTAATAATGAGAAATATAGCTTAAGAGTAGTAGAGTCCCGCCAGTTCAGTTATAGAAACAATTATTTCATTATACAGGATATCATCTTGAATCCAGCCAAACCAATCAATGATCCAAATACCATCCATATTTTAATTACAGATAGACTAGCACAATGGAGACATCTGTCATTTGCACTTTATTGGCTATATAATCCTGCCACATCCAATTATACCCCAATACAACCTCCAGAAATTAGAGATAGGTTGGAACACGAAGATGAAATTTGGAAAGAACCGGCATCACTTGAAAAACTACACTATGCTGAATTCTCCCCAAATGGGAAATATATAGTATTTGGATTCAATCATGATTTATATATCCAAAACCTATCAACTAATGAAATTCATCAAATAACAAATGATGGTTCTCCCGACATTTTCAACGGGAAAACCGATTGGGTATATGAAGAAGAAGCAATTCCCAAAGATCGATTAATATGGTGGTCACCAGATGAAAAAAATCTCATATTTGCAAAGATAAATGATACATTAGTTCAAGAATATGAATTAGATTATTATGTAAAAGAGAATACCGAAATTGGAACTCAATATCAACAACTGGATCAAGAGAAAGTTGAAAATGTAAATCAATACCCGATAAAGACTTCCATCAAATATCCGAAACCAGGGACTCATAATCCAATCATATCGCTATATAATTACAATCCAGAAACGCATTCAGTTACAGAATTCATAGATGGAGATAAGTCCTTAGGAGTGGATTATATTCTTTATGATGCAAATTGGATAGATAATAATAATTTCCTAATGAAACAAACAGATAGAACAAGTTCGATACTCTCCAAGAAATTATACAAACCATCTGAGGGTAAGGTACATGTTATTGAATCTACGAATGTTTCTGAATCTGGACAATGGGTTGAAAAAATGCAACCAGTAACCGTCATACCCAAAAACAATAATGATCGTGATGATGATGATGATGATGATGATGATGATGACGACAAGTCTGGAGCCTCGTATATTGATAGAGTTGTGATAGATGGAAGAATCAAATTGGCTTTACGTAAAGGTGCAGATGCAGGAAATCCCACATCAATATTAACAAATAATGAAGATTGGGATGTGATTGCTGATTCTCCTGTCGTATATGATGCCCAGGAGAACTTTGTGTATTTCTTGGGTACCATCAGAAGCTCGATGGATGCACATCTTTTAGGGATCGATTTAGGAAATCACAACCAGTTGATAACTATCACCGATATGGACAAAGATGGATTGTATGAGGTTCACTTTTCTCCAGATGGTCAATATTTGAATTTATTATATAAAGGACCAAACCAACCCTGGCAGAGATTGATTAATATGGGAGATATACATGATTATCTCAAAACCGAAGGAGTTGATCCTAAGAAAGTCCAACAAGAAATTATTTCCGAAGCACCAATAATCAATCCATATGATGAAACCAAATCCGCCCTCAAGGGAATCAATTTCCCCACCGTCACATTCAAAGAAATCAAAATTGATCAGGATCCAAATACCAAACAACCCATAAAATTGAATGTTAAAGAAGTACTCCCTCCCAATTTCAATACCACATCCGGCAAGAAATATCCAATTTTAGTTCAGGTATATGGAGGTCCTGGGTCACAGTCTGTATTCAAATCATTTGAAATTGGGTTTTTAGAAGCCGCTAGTGCACAATTAGATGCGATTGTCCTATTTGTAGAACCTAGAGGCACGGGAGGGAAAGGATGGAAATTTAAATCATTTGCCAAGGATCGAATTGGATATTATGAACCACGCGATTTATCAGTATTAGTCTCGGAATATATTGCTGCGAATAATAAATTTGTTAATAAAGAAAAAGTAGCAATTTGGGGTTGGTCATATGGAGGATTTTCGACATTAAAGACATTAGAATATGATAAAGGGAAAACATTTAAATATGGAATGGCAGTTGCTCCGGTTACAAATTGGTTATTTTATGATTCCATATATGCTGAAAGATATATGAATAATCCAAAAACCAATCCCGATTATGCCAAATATGCCAAAACCAATGATATTGAGAGTTTTAAATCGATCAAAAGGTTTCTTATAATGCATGGTACTGGAGATGATAATGNAATGATATTGAGAGTTTTAAATCGATCAAAAGGTTTCTTATAATGCATGGTACTGGAGATGATAATGTTCATTTACAAAATCTGTTGGTATTTTTAGATGAATTAAATATGAACAATGTTGAGAATTATGATGTTCATTTCTTTCCTGATAGTGACCACGGTATTACGTATCATAATTCTGGTGTCATTATCTATAAGAGGTTATTGTCATGGTTAGATAAAGCATTTAATGGGAAGTTCTTATAATTAATCATTTGTATGGTACTGCATATATGATATCCATCGCTTCGCTTGAGATTTTTTTTTTCAGTTCTGATTTTCCTCATCGCAGGAATCGTTTTTTAAATTTAATTTTCTTTAGTTCCCTTCTTTCTTTAGAGTATAGACTGATTAATATAGACATTAACGAATAGAGATATAACAATGGGGAAGACATCTAAACAAACCAAGAAGTTTCAAAACAAACATTTGAAACATACCATTGAACAACGTAAGAAAGTCCAAGAACATAATAAGAAATTCGCTACCAGAAAAAAGGGAAAGAAATCTGATGATGCTACAACCACCGACAAGCCAAAAAGGGCAGATGGAAAGGCTAAAGAAGTCTTTGAAGATATGTCAGTAGATGAATTCTTTGCTGGTGGATTTGAAGTGCCTAAGGAAAAGAAGAGCAAGAAACAAGCAAACAAGAAAAAGCAAGAATCCGAAGATGAATCCTCATCTGATGAAGAAGATGAAGATGCTATGAAGGAAAGTATGAAGAAATTGGAAGATCAAGATCCTGAATTTTATAAATATTTAAAGGAAAATGATAACGATTTATTGGATTTCGAAGGAGTTAATCCTTTGGAAGCTATGGGAGAAGAAGACTCTGATGAAGAAATGGATGATGAAGAAGCAGCAGAAGACGAAGAAGAACAACAACCAAAGGGAAAGAAAGATGCCGGATCCAAGGTGGAAATAACTTTACAATTAGTTAAGAAATGGGATGAACAACTTCAAAAGCCAAGTCCAAAAATCATTAGAAACATTACTATTGCATTTAAAGCAGCTGTTAATATTAATAAATCAGATGAAGAAGATTATAAATATTCAATTACTGATCCAAATGCTTTTTCAAGTTTAATGTTATTAGTTCTTAAGAAACTTCCAATTGCCATTCAAAAGTTAATCAAATACAAGACCAACCCGCAAGGAGTTAGAACAATTCCTCAAAAGAATCAATATTTAAGTCAAATTTCCAGTATATTAAAATCTCATGCTGGATCCTTTATTGTATTATTAAAAGATATTACCAATACTGAAACCGCTGCATTGGTCTTAGCTTCAATCTATGAAGTGATTCCTTATTATTTATCCCATAGAAGATTATTAAAAGAAATCTTATCTTCAATTGTTGATGTTTGGGCAAGTACAATAGAAACAGATACCCAAATTGCAACATTTGCATTCTTAAACAATGTTGCTAAAGAATTCCCTAAATCAGTTCTTGAAACTATTTTGAAATTAACTTATTCATCCTTTTTACAAAATTGTAGAAAGACAAATATTCATAGTATGCCCCAAATCAATTTCTGTAAGAATTCTGCTGCTGAATTATTTGGAATTGATGAAGTATTGAGTTATCAAGTTGGATTTGAATATGTTAGACAATTAGCTATTCATTTAAGAAATAGTATTAATGCTACATCAAATGCTAAAGAAGGTTATAAGACTATATATAATTGGCAATATTGTCATTCTTTGGATTTTTGGTCAAGAGTATTAGCACAACAATGTAATCCAGAAAGAGAACTTATGAAACATAAATCAAAGGAATCTCCATTAAGACAATTGATTTATCCATTAGTTCAAGTCACTTTGGGGACTATAAGATTAATCCCCACTGCCCAATTTTTCCCATTAAGATTCTATTTAATTAGATCCTTAATGAGATTATCACAATCCACTGGAGTTTTCATTCCTATATTCCCCTTGATTTCAGAAATCTTAACTTCAACAGCCATGACTAAATCTCCTAAGAATGTTAATTTACAAGCAGTTGATTTTGATCATAATATTAAAGTGAATCAAGCATATTTAGGTACAAGAGTTTTCCAAGATGGATTATGTGAACAATTTTTAGAATTAACCAGTGAATTCTTTGGACTTTATTCCAAGAGTATTGCATTCCCTGAATTGGTAACTCCTGCTATTTTAACTTTAAGAAGATTTAGTAAGAAATCAAGAAATGCTAAATTTAATAAACAATTACAACAATTGGTTGAAAAATTGAATGCGAATGCAACTTTCATTGCTGGAAAGAGGTCAAATGTTGAATATGGTCCTTCTAATAAAACCGAAGTTCAATTGTTTTTGAAAGATTTTGAATGGGAAAAGACTCCATTGGGTCAATATATTGTTGTTCAAAGACAAGCTAAAGAAGAGAAATTGAGAATTTTGAGAGAAACTTTAGAAGAAGAAGCTAAGGCTAAGAAACAAGCTAGAGAAGAACAAGAAGATGATTCTGATATAGAGATTGATGCCATTGAAGCTGAAGATGAAGAAGAATCTGAAGAAGATGAAGATTAGAAAACAAAATAAATTAATATCTATTAGATTAGTTTAATAATACATTTGTACACATAATTACATATAAATAACTTTCAATCACCTCTTCTTAGGGATCAATTGGAATGAAATTCCCAACAATACAACTTGGAATATTATACCTATCTCTTCTAATTGTAAAACTAAAACAACAACTCTTTCTCTTCACCCCATCTTTAGTTCTTAAATTACAACTCGTCAATACCGCTTTTTGACCTTTATCAAATGCAATTGCCCCATATTTCTCCCAAAAATTCACCGCACTTTCTTCACTCATCAATTCATATATTGCCAATTTCCCATCCTTCAAATCATCAGCAGTCACCCCTACAAGGGAAGCAAATTCCTTATTTCCTCGATATATCTCCCCAGTACGTCTCCATAAACAAGCCGGTATGGCCATCGAGGTGAAAACTCGATCATAATCCAACAACATTCTTTCAAAACTTTCTTCCACCAATACTAAATCAACATCCTTCAACGTTCTTGCAATTGCCCTAAAAGCGGGACGGAAGATAGATAAAGGTTTAAGAATACGTTGTCGACTTGAAATATTCATATAATTGTCCATATAGTTTTGTAATCTAGCATAACCCTTGGCATAATTATATGGTTGTAATAAACCAGCTTCAAGTTTTGCCTTAATGACTTGTTTTAATCTTTCCTCGGGGGAGATTTCCGTGGTTGGGTCAGCAGCGGTGAGGAAGAATTTATCTCTTGCTGAATCGGAAATAACTGGTTGTTCATTATTATTGTTATTATTTTGTTGTTGTTGTTGCAGTGATTGGGGTGGTGGTGGGAGTTGTTGAAAACTTTGACTTCGTGATTGCTGAAGTGGTTGTTGATTCAGGATATTATTACTACTATTCTGTCCTCCACTTTCATCTCCTGGGAATGTAGATCCGGAGAATAAATTAGCATTAGGTGAGAATGATAATCCATGTAAATTAGTAATACTATTATTTGATGGAACATTAGTATCATTGAAATTGTTCTGTTGTTGATTTATATTGTTATTATTTCCAACTGGGAAATTCAACATGGCATTAGGATCATCAGTTAATGCTCCTTGTACTAATTCTGGGTCGTCAATCATTGATAAGAAATCATTTAATGAACTGAATTCACTTCCTGCATGTTCAGAATAAAAGAATGGTTCTTGATTATAAGGCAATGTTTGGGAGAGAACCGAGTTTTGGAGAGTTTTAGGCTGGAGTGCTGATTGATATTGTTGAGGTTGGGGTAATTGCTGCTGTTGTTGTTTTGGTGGTTGTTGTGGTTGTTGTTGAAGTTGCTGTTGCTGTTGTGGTTGTTGTTGTTGATGCTGCTGTTGCTGTTGTTGTTGTTGACCATACTGAAGATCATAAGATACTGACTCAACTTTAATATCTGCCTGTGAGGCTATAGGCGGTAATGTAGACATTGCTCTTAATGGCGCAGCGTGAGGTTGAGGTTGTGATAACGACGATGATGATGATATAGTACTAGCTCCACCTTCACTTTGAGTCTTTCTTAATGATGCTGCCTTCTTACGTTGTCTTGTATTTGAAGGTTCGTCGTAACAAAGATGTCCAATACCTCGTTTAATACATCTTTGACAAGGTCTTGACTCATCACAAATCATATGAGATCGACGACAATAGACACAAGCAATCTCGACTTTCTTTTTCCTGCGTTTAGAAGCAGCCTTGGATGATTTGGATCCGGAATCATTATCCGATGTCAATGATTCACTTAAGTCTAATGTAGTATTATTATTGTTTGTGTTAAGCTCTTCATCATAATCCTTTGTTGGCGGCTCGGAGATATTGCTATTATTATTATTAGTTTGTTGTCCCGGGGCTGGGTGTTGATTAGTAACCAAATGTTCCGACATCTCGTTATTATCCGGTATGTGTATCTTTGCTTGAAACTTGAAAATAAAAGCCAAAACTAAAAGAATCCTTAAAGATTTTTGTTTATAGATTCAGCCGGTTTTATTTATATACTTGAGAAGTAAATCTAGAACCTATTCTGGTTGAATGGAAACAATCCTTTCAATTCATGCAAAGGAATTAAAACCAGTAAGAAATGGAAAAACAAAAAAACCCACAACAATATTTTTTTTTTAATTTTTTTTTTTGTTGGCGGAGAAGAATTAATTGTCACGTGACCATTGGAGTTTTTTTGTTAAGAGAAAGTTCGGAATATTCCGGGTGTACTAGCTCAATTAGATCAATTCAAATTGTAAATTACTACGGCTGCAACTACTACCTCTCCTATATGGCTGCAAACTAGTTTTAGTCAATTGTAGAATAACAACGAGAAAGAACTTTTGTCTAACCAATTTGATCGAAAATGTTCAAGAAGGTTAGGTATAAACTCCTTCCCCTCAATAACTCAAAAAATCCGTCTTAGAAATATGACAATTCCCGGAATTAGCAACCAAATACCCAAATACCAGGGAGAAGATGATAAAACTGAGTCAGGCATTAGTTACTCTAATTTCCGAAAAGAAAGATCCAATTGAAAGAAACCCTGACCTGCATCACATCTAGAAAATAACGGTATGTTTAATTGTTTAAAAGTTTCGTTTATCTATCCAAACCCTCTTGGGGGGGTATTTTTTTGCTTAATTCGCTGCAGAGTTGATTTAGATCTGAATAATAACGGGGAACACATTTACAGAAAATATATCTTTACCCCCTAGATAACTAGCCATGATTATGCCCCGGGATTAAGGACCATCTCTTTGATGGGGTATCTACTTGTATATGTATCTTTCTTCGTGATTTGTGGAGTTAAGTGACAACCAAAATGTCTTATCCCTAAATCTCCCGTATGGTGGGGAGCGCAAACACCGAGCTGTCTTGGTTGGGCTAGAAACTTCTATCCAAAAACTCCCAGGAACCAACACTAAGTCTGCTCCATAAACGTAGTAGAGATCCAGAAATACCGTCAAAAATAATTCCTTAAAAAACCTACAAAAAATATAAAAACCTGAACTAAACCTATTTAAAACATAATAGAACACCTGCCATTTTTCTCCATACAAAAAAAACAATAAACTCACTGGTGAGTCTCCATATGCTCGAGAGTAGATACATCATCATTATCACCCCCATGATATTCCATCGTTTCGTTACTTGATCCGCTTGACTCAATAGAATTAGAATCCTGATGTAGTTGTTGTTCTTCACTCGCACTGACAAAATCCCCAGAATCAATACTCACACTCAATTCCAACCTAGAATCTTCTTTGGAACCAGGTTCACTTTCATTCTCTTCCTCTCTGCCTGAAAATCTACTCAAAATCTGCAGTGGTTTTGAAATTCGAAATGAATGGGTAGCTGATACAGGTGGTGGTCTAACCAACTTATCTGCGGGAAGTGGGGGTGATTGTGCTGGGGTGAAGAATGACATATCCGTAGTTTCTGATACTCCACTACTAGGTCCGACAATCACGGGAGGAGGAATTTCTTCATTTTGAACAACAGAATGTAATTCATTTCCTTCCGATCTGGTGACACTAAGTTCTCGAGAAGATGACCCCACAGGAAATAATCCATCACTATATATATCATCCTCACTCTCTAAACTTTCTTCTTGAGATGGAGAAGGATCAAAAAACGGAACCAAAACACCAGCTTCTAAATCATTAGTGCTCCCATATTCAACAATTTCATCATCACTTCCTAATAAATATGTACAATTTGGTTTTGTTAAAGTTGAATTACATAATGGACAACTTCTTCTAAAATTTATTAACCAATTCAGTAAACATTTCTCATGAAAGAAATGTTTACATTCCAATACTAATAATTTTGATTTTAATGGAATATATTTTTCTAAACATATTGAACATTTATATGCGGGATAAAAATCATCAGGGGCGGTAATTACATGTAAGGAATCTTTTGATGATCTTACATCAATCCCACCGACTGTTATTTTATGTATTGATAATGAGGATCCATTTCTAGAAGGTTTGGGGGATTCATAAAGATCGGTGGTTTCGGAATCACGGGGGACCATATTGGTTTGGCCAGTAACTTTTAAATACTTTTGGAAAAAGGGGGCAAGGATTAAATGATCTATATTGAATATGTATACCGGTAATTGTTTTACCATTTTGGCATTTTGCATATTGATTTGTCTTCTACGAATCCGTTGTCCACAAACTATCATAGAATAGAAAAAAATGATTAATAATGGTGGGGATAATACCATGGATAAAATAATACTTAACCAACTTCCAATATAGGCGGTTCTAATACCAATTGGTAAATCCTCTGATTCTATATTTGATAAAGTCATGAAATCTTCATTGGTTATAAATAAAATAGGAGTTCGTAAAGAACCATCTTGATTAAAATTATTCAGAAACATTGTAATTAACCCTCGATAAGGTTCATCATTAGCAATAATAATACAAGTTGGATCTAATTTTGATTCAAGAACATTAGTTACTTTATCAACAAATGTACAATCACCTCTAAGCACTATAATTACTTTATTCTTGAAACCTTCCAATTCTTCAGGATCTTCCGGTTCAAATTTCGTACATGCATTATGAGGTAATATCCGATAGTGACTAATCATATTATAATTCAACACGGGACTGAATGAAGCATATCTACTAATCAATTCATGAGTTGTTATATTGTTAGTTGGGAAAGTTGGAATGGTTGTTGTTGATCTATTATAACTTATAATTGCATCAATGGGGAAGAATGAATTAACGACATTATTCAAAGGATAATCAATATCACTTTCAAGTATTCGAGAATCATTAGTAAGAGTTCTTCGTCTTGGATGAGGATGATACAATGTTCCATCAGGGAAATGTTGATCTTTAAATTCTCGGATTGAATTCTTGGTTAAATATAATGCATCTTCTAAATCAAGATGTGATGAATTCTTTTGATTGATTAAGAAGAAACTAAACAAGATTGCTGAACAAATTAAAACCAACTTTGGTTGGAATATGGATCTTGTTGGTTCTGGTTGTAAGGGCGTCATTATTCGATGATGTGAATGAATATGACCATTCAGAAGTGAAGGTGGACTCATTTCCCTTCGTTTCTTTTAGTTAGTTATAATGAGATCAATCTATGTATCTCTCTCTAAGGGTATACACTTCTTTCTTCTAATGGTAGAAAGGTGGGGGGGATGTGAGGTAACAAGTGTGGCGTTGGTTGTTGTGGTGGTGTAAAAGTGGTTGGTTAGTAATAGGAGATAGCATACGAAAAGATTTTTTTTATTAATAGAGTGAGGCTGACCGCCTTTCCCCCATTTGTAATTAATTACAGTAATTAAGATTTTGTGTGACAGATAGTAAGCAATGTCGCATGACCCCCCGAAGGATTTTTAAAGTTTATTAAGAAATCATACGACATTTTATGAGTACTATAAAAGAGAGACACTTATAATAAAGTTGTTCACTTATTAATCTAAATTTTTATACAATTCTTCAATGCTGATATGTATATATACAATTTACACTTTGTATATCATTCTTCAATGCTATGTCAAAATACCCTCAAAAGAATGATATAAAAGAATGGAAATTGGCTAGAAATATTCAATGTCGTAAGAGTTTATATAATAAAAATTGCTGCAAAAATTCATTTGAAGAATGGATTTTCATCATGAGATTGATCATGGACGGGATAGTTCTTAATCAGATCAAGAAGTTTCAGGAAAGGGCAATGAAAGAATTATCAATATATCACCTTACATCCATTCGCAAGGGATGTACTCCAACAAATGGGCATCTTCCCGAAGTGGAATAGCTGCAAATATTTCAGAGAATGATGCAGTTCCACGCCATCGGGCATGAAGATGCTGCTGCCATGCTGCTTACAACCTGCGTCTATTCAAAATTTCTTGTTAAGGATGATACTTTCTGGGAATTGCGAGAACTGGATTATTCATATTTAGAGCTTATACTATTCTTCGAACCACCTTTGCAACAAGCTATAAAGTAGAGCAAGTGTTCCTAATAATGAAATGATTATTCCAGAAGCACCGTTAGTTTCCAACAGTTGGAAGGAAATGTGGGATACACATTTGTTATTCGTTACTTTTTTTAATTATAATCTCTATTAATTATGAATACATAAATAAAATCTCTTTTTCATTATACAAACTATACTAAAAGACATCACCTAATCTTAATCTAGGTGCAATGTTCATTGACAATAATTCTTGGAATAATAATTTTGCAGCATATGGAATAGTCATCTTGATAACATTTTCGGAACTCTTACATGTAGTACACCAAGAATTATAACCCATTAAACCACATTTATTACAAATATCAACTTCAAATGCATCAGATGAAATCATTAATCTTTCTAGCAACAATTGGGAAGCACCGTATGCAATAACACAGTCTCTTTCCATTTCTCCCAATCTTAACCCACCATCTCTTGATCTACCTTCTGTAGGTTGTCTTGTTAACACGGCCCTTGGACCTCTTGCTCTGGCATGCATCTTATCTAAAACCATATGTTTCAATTTTTGATAATAAATTGGACCAAAGAAAATATATGCTTGTAAACATTCTCCAGTAATACCAGAATATAACATATCTTTCCCTGAATATGAAAATCCTTTTTCAACCAAGATCTTAGACATATCTTCCAACTTAGAACCTCCAAAACATGTCCCATATTCCAAACTTCCATTCAAGACACCTGCTTTACCAGAGATCAATTCAATCATTTTCCCAACCGTCATACGAGATGGAAAACCATGTGGGTTCATAATAATATCAGGCGAAATCCCTTGATCATTAAATGGTAAATCTTCTTGTTGGACAATAATACCACAAACACCCTTTTGTCCATGTCTAGAAGAGAATTTATCACCCAATTCTGGTCTTCTAGTTTGTCTAAGCAACACTTTAATTAATGCTTGATCATTATCACTAACGGACATCATTACTTGATCGACATATGATGGTTCAGGACCCTTATAATAAGCAGGAGTTTCTCTATGACTTTCAACATTTGCCATTTGGTCAGGATGACCTCCTAATGAAGATTCCCCAGCATTTGTAGGAACACATTTATTGGCATATACTTGACCATTCTCAATTCTTGCGCCAACTTCACCTAATCCATCTGGACCTAATGCTTGATGGGGGAAAATCGCATTTCCATCCTCATCAACTCTCATACCAGAAAGAATATCTTTGGTGTGGTTAGGATATCTCTTTAATTGAATAGTATTCTTACGAACAACTTGACAACGACCAAACCCTCTATCAATGGATGCTTTGTTCAATACCAAAGCATCTTCAATATCATAACCGGAATAAGACATGACTGCAACAGTAGCATTCTGACCAGCTGGTAATTTATCATAATTGATCAATTCAATTGTCTTGGTCTTAACCATAGGTTGTTGAGGATATACCAGGAAGTATAACAATGTATCAATTCTTCTGAATTGATTATAGGCTATAGCACCAATAGCTTGCTTACCCATCGCACATTGATATGTATTTCTTGGTGATTGGTTATGATGGGGATATGGAATCAAACCGGCAACTGCACCCAATACTGTAAATGGTTCAATTTCCAAATGGGTAACACTTCCACTTGGATGTTCTTGAATGCCATATTCGTATAATGCAATCAATGAATCATTTTCTTCATTGACATCCAAATATTCAACTAATCCATGATGTAAGAAATCATCAAAAGCCCATTCTCCCTTTCTTAATTTTAATAAATGTTCAGCAGTAACTTTTGGTACATCATTCTCTACAATAATAAGTGGACGACAAATTCTACCACCATCAGTGGCGATATGAACTGCTTGTTGATGGGTGTTTGTATAAATAGAAACAAATTCTGAAACTTTCCCAGCTCTTCTTAAACGACGGAAATCAGAAACAAATCTTGCCGGGAATCTAGTAGTACCCGCCAATGTACCATTAAGATAGATCCCAAAATTACCTTCATTATGTAAAGTTGCTGAATCTATACGTAAAATAGGTTCACAACCCAAAATAAGACATAATTTTTTAATGGGTAGTTCTTCATCATCAGTTGTAATATGAGTCATTAATGCCAAGTTTTTAACCAAACCACACGCTTCCCCTTCTGGAGTATCAGCAGTACATAACATCCCAAATTGAGAAGGTTGTAATGCTCTTGGACCAGAAACTTTTCTCGATTTTTCGAATTGGGATGAAATACGAGTCATCATACCCAATGCTGAAATGTATGATAATCTTGATAAAACATGGGTAACACCTGCCCTTTCCATCTTGAAACGTTTTAAGGACCAATTACCTGTTGAAATGGCTCTATTTAAACCCATAGTGATATTATTTGAATGGATATTAATGGACAACAAAGCATCGAATTCAGAGGTCCTACTTGGTTTTTTCAAAATCTTATCAATATTGGCTTTGAAATCAGAATTAAACTTCTTGAATAAATCTTCAAATAATAAAGACATCAATTGACCAGCTAATTCCAATCTCTTGTTCCCAACATAATCTCTATCATCTACCATTTTTGGATTATCCATAGCCATCACAACACGTCTGGCCATAGTGGCAATATAAAGTGCCTTTTCTCTAGATTGTAAATCTGAAACTGTTAAATGGGCAATGATAGTTGTAGAAATGGCTTCGATACCTTCTTGTAATTGTGACAATTTGGGTGCACCGGCTCTTCTAATGGTTTTCACTCTTTTACCAACATAGTTTAATGCTTGCTGTTGGGTGAATACTTCTAAACGTGCAGCTTCTTCAAAATTAACAACAAAAAGGTCTTGATAAGAGGGATTATTACCACATACTAATTGCAAAATTTCTAAATCGGATGTTATACCAGCTGCTTTCAATACAATAACAATTGGAATATCTTCACTAATGGAATTATGCTTTAAAAAAATTTTATCGTGCTTTGTTATAACGTATGTTTTGGATTTACGTTCATGAGTGGAAGAAGTAACTGATGCTTGAACCAATCCTTTCTTTTCATCAGCTTCCACAATAATTCTATTCTTGGATAATTGTTCTTGAACAAGGATAACCTTTTCAGTACCATTGACAATAAAGTATCCTCCTGGATCTAATGGACATTCATCAAACCTGGCCATTTGGGTTTCATCTAATCCATCCAAAAGACATTTGTTAGATCTTAACATGACTGGCATTCTTCCAATCTCCAAATCTTTATGCATAATAATCTTACGTCCTCTTGTATATTCAATATCAACATAAATAGGTGCAGAATAAGTCAAATCTCTTAATCTACATTCATGTGGAGGTAAGATTAACTCCTTAGTACCAGGAGCAGATGAAGATTTATGACCCACTCTAATATCTAAATATTTCACATAAAATTCTGGATCAACATCAGATAACACCAATTCATTGGCCTTAATGATTTTCTTTAAATCAACATCCACAAAATAGTTGAAAGAATCCAAATGTTGTTTGACTAAACCTTTAACTTTTAAAAATGCTGGCAATAGATTCCATTTATCTTGTGCTGTGTTGATCTCATCGGTCAATTTCTTTCCTTTATATTCTGGTTTAAAAAGCTCACGGAATGCTTCATCCGATTCGGCAGCAACGTGAGAAACTCTCCTCTTCGGTGGCATCTCTCTCGTTGTGTTTATTGTGTGTTGTATTTGCTTTTGACTGAATCAAATGGTTTCTTCAAGTTTTGCAACACCATCTCCCTTTCGCTTCCCTGTCTTCCCTCATCCTAAATTTTTTTTCCACAACACAAAAATTTATCACGTGATTAGGAAGTTCCGAATTTTCATTTCCGGTCTTTAACCAAACAGTCATCGAAAGATTTATGAACCATTCTTTATTCTTGATCACATATAAGGTACTAGGTTACTTTGTGAGAACACAATGTCGGGAAGTAATTTATTCAAAGCTACTGTCAACGAATATTTAGAAGGTCTTCCAAAACCAGTTCAATCCAAATTATATGAAGCACCAGCAACATGTTTATCCATTTATAGATTGCTTTCTCCCACGGCTAAGTTCTTTATCATGTCAATGATATTCAACGAAAAACCAATTGCTCTAAGGGATTTAGACAGATGGTGTAAACCGCTGGCAAGAAAGTTGGAATACGAAGCACTTAAACGTTTAGAATCACTTCATTTAATAGAATATGATAGCAGGGGATCTCATATACGATTGAATGCAACTTTCCGACAAAATTTTCGAGATTGTCTAACTGGATCTCAAGAACCAAATGCATTTGGAAGTATAAGTACAGCCGTGGATAAACATCAAGTAGATGTGGCATTTCTTGATTCATTTGCTTCTCAAAAATGGGAGACTATTTTGCATTTCATGGTGGGGACGGAATCAACTGCTACTCCTTCAAGTTCGGTTTTGTCATTATTGAAATTGGGTGGATTAATGGAAGGACAAGGTAAGAGCGCCGCGAATTTGAAAATTACTAATACGGGGTTTCAATTCCTTTTGCAAGACGTAAATGCTCAAATTTGGACTTTATTGTTACAATATTTGAATTTAACACAAGAATTAAATATGGATCCAGTTGACGTGTTAAATTTCATATTTATCCTTGGTTCATTGGAATTAGGTAAAAGTTATGCAGTATCAACCCTAAGTGCAACTCAAGTGAGTATGTTGGCAGATTTGAAAGATTATGGATTAGTCTATCAACGTTCAGACACATCAGGAAGGTTTTATCCAACAAGATTGGCAACGACATTAACCTCGGACTCAGCAGCATTAAAGACTCCATCGATGGCAATTGAGCAATCTGTTGAAGCTTCAGAAGGAGATAAAGAACAACAACAAATGGCAACTCCTGCAAACATGCAAGGATCAGTTATTATCGAAACCAATTTTAAACTATATGCATATACAAATTCACCCCTCGAAATCGCCATTTTAAACCTATTCGTTCATTTAAGAACAAGATTTTCTAATATGGTATGTGGTCAAATAACCAGAGAATCAATTCGAAATGCATTATACAATGGAATTACGGCAGAACAGATTATAAAGTTTTTGGAAACCCATGCTCATCCACAAATGAGAATATTAGCGAAAGAGAAATTGGACAAAAAGATTGAATTCGATACAAGTCATAATATTAACACCGCAGGTGGTGCACCTCAAAGTCAATCTGCCAGAGCAGATGGTTCAATTGCACAACATAAATTAGAAATCCTTCCACCGAATGTTGTGGATCAAATCAAGTTATGGCAATTAGAGCTTGATAGAATTCAAACTTTTGATGGATATTTATTTAAGGATTTCCCAAATCAACAAGAATTCGATATTTTGTCAACATACGCGTCGGAGCTTGGTGTATTGATTTGGTCTGATAAAGTAAAGAGGAAGTTCTTTGTTACGAAAGATGGAATGTCACAGGTGGCTGATTATGCCAATAGAAAACTAAAAAGAGCAGGTAATTAAATTAAACTATTAAGCTTTAAATATATATACAAGTAGCCAAAGAGTTTTTATTTTTAATACAGGGTAATGTTTCGGGGTATCATAAGCAAATATTATTACAAATCTAGCCAGAACATGATTGACAACTATCTGGATCATCGATATTACATGACAATGGGGTGCTGTCATAAATACTATATTGGGATTCACTAGGCTCCGATTCTGGGGTTCCGTAAATAGATAGATCTTGATTTGCCTTCACTGCGTCAGCAATAAATTTACGTTTGACACTAACATGATCAACTTCGACATATCTCTTACGCTTAAGTTTACTTGAATCCGCTATTGCATTATTTTTAACCTTTTTAGCTTCTTCTAAATCAACAGTAAATTGGATTGCCTTTGATGCACTTTGTGTTCTTAAATAGTACATACCAGTTTTCAATCCCTTTTCCCAGGCATAAAAATGACAACTTGTCAATTTTCCATATGTTGGATCTTTCAAGTGAACATTCATACTTTGCAGCTGATCAATAAACTTACCACGATCAGCTGCCATATCAATTATACCTTTCTGACTAATCTCCCACACCGTTCTATACAATTTTTTGATCTCATCGGGTATACCAGGAATATCTTGAATAGACCCATTATCCATGATAATCTTATTTCGAGTTGCCGAATTCCATAATCCTAAATCTATCAAATCTTTAATCAAGTATTTGTTAACAACCTGATATTCACCAGCAAGTACACGTCGATTGTATATATTCGACGTATATGGTTCAAAGCATTCATTAAATCCTAAGATCTGTGATGTTGATGCAGTAGGCATGGGTGCAACTAATAAAGAATTCCTCAATCCAAAGCTTTTAATATTCTCTTTCAATGAATCCCAATCATCATACAACTCCGATGGTTTGTGATCCCATAAATCATACTGCAAAATCCCCTTTGAGGCAGGCGATCCTTCAAATGACGCATATGGACCTTCGACAATTGACAATTCAATTGAGGCTTCTAATGCAGCGTGATAGATAGTTTCAAAGACTTGAATATTCAAAGTCCTTGCTTCGGGCGAATCAAATGGTAATCTAAGCTCAAGGAATAAGTCAGCTAATCCTTGCACTCCCAAAGCCAAAGGTCTATGTCTCTTATTTGATCGTTCTGCAGCTTCTATTGGATATTTGGTAACATCTATAACTTTATTCAAATTTTTTATAAGAACTTTGGTTACAGAATGAAGTTTTGCAAAATCAATTTCTAGCACTTCTTCATCTCTAATAAGAACAGTTTTCAAAAACCTTGGTAATGCCAATGAACCTAGGTTACAACATGCTGTTTCTTCTGGGGAAGAATATTCAATAATCTCACAACACAAATTGGAAGACTTTATTGTTCCCAAATTCTTTTGATTAGATTTGAAATTGCAAGCATCCTTATATAGCATATAAGGTCCTCCCGTTTCTATTTGAGATTCCAAAATAGCCATCCATAATTTATGTGCTTTCACAGTTTCTACGGCCAATCCCTCCCTTTCATATCTCTCATATAATTCAACAAATTCATCACCATAACAATCGCTCAACCCTGTCGCAACATTCGGAGAAAATAATGACCATTCTTTATCCTCCTTAACTCTCTTCATAAATAAATCCGGGATCCATAATCCATAAAACAAATCTCTAGTTCTATGTTCTTCATTACCATGATTCTTCCTCATTTCCAAAACATCAAAAATATCTCCATGCCAAGGTTCTATATATACAGCAAAAGCTCCAGGACGCTTTCCACCTCCTTGGTCAACATATCTTGCGGTGTTGTTAAACACTCTCAACATAGGAACTAATCCATTAGAAGTACCATTGGTGCTCGCAATAAATGATCCACTGGAACGAATGTTATGCACATGAAATCCGATCCCACCTGATGCTTTAGAAATTAAGGCAGTCTCATGTAAGGTTTTATATATCCCGTCAATGGAATCGTCCTTCATACCAAGTAAGAAACATGATGATAGGTAATTAAAACTACTTCCGGAGTTATATAATGTTGGTGAAGCATGAATGAAGTATTTTTGTGACATCAAGTCATATGTTTCCATTACTGCATCTAAATTATCAAAATGGATCCCTATTGCAACTCTCAAAAACATAAATTGTGGGGTTTCCGAGATTTCGTCATTCATTCTTAATAAATAGGAATTCTCTAATGTCTTGATTCCAAAATATGTTAATTCAAAGTCGCGAGATTTATCAATCAAATTGTTCAAGAATGATGCGTTCTTTGTCACCACTTCATAAAACTGATCTGAAAGAAGGGAATAGTCATTTAATTTAAGTCGATTCGGCTTGTATTGTTTTAATCGTTCAACATTCTCCGAAAAACTATAAGTAATCTTTCTGTGAAGTTTCTTTACTTCGATTCTTCCAGCAAGAAGCGCGTAATCAGGGTGATATATGACTCTACTGGCTACTACTTCGGCCATAAAGACGTATAGTTGTTCAATAGTAACTTCTTCCGGTAATCCTTTCGCGACATCGTCAACGAGGTTCTCGAGATACAATTGAGATTTATCCAAACCATAGCAGAGATCCTCCAAGAAGATTAATATCTTCTCTTTCTTGAATTCTTCCCGTATAGTCTCACCCACCCTGAGATCATCTATTATTATAAATGTATTGGTTTCCATGTCGCCAAGAAAGTAAGAGCCCTTCCTAGATTTCGTGATAGCAAAATATATACTCCTCGAGCAAAAATTATTCCCGCGTTTTTCAAAGTGAACTAATGTAGTTAACTAGGGTTTGTGACCTTTATTGAATATGTATTTGATAGATGCGCGTATAACACGTTAGATTTGAGATGAAAGACTGCTATAAATTGATGATAAATAGGTTCGTTATGAAGACCCTTATGCAATTCGCACAAAATCACAAAGGTGAAAAAAACTGCATCTCATCACTATTCCGGTTTGGGAAATGGTAGGAGGAGTGGCAAAATCTTATTTTCTGTTGCAAATATTGCGTTTACCACATCATTCATAAACCAAGGAATAATCCAAATGTAATAACTTATATAGATCCCTCATAGTAAACTCATCGGTGAATTCTGGAACATCCTTATCTGGCGGTTTATGAGTCTTGAGAAAATCATTAAAATTATCAATCACTTCTTGTTGTTCCAACCCAGACAACATCTTAAACTCATCAGATTCAACATATATCTCGAAATTATTCTCCATCTCTTCAACCCCATAACTCTTAGATTCCTTCAATTTCTCCCATTCTCTAATTTGAAATTTCTTATATCCTCCAATTCGTTCAATCTTAATTGAAAAATCATTATATAAATAATTCGAAGCCATTTGACAAATATTCTTCCATTTCGTAATCAATTCAACAACTTTTCTTTCTTCATTAACATAGCTACAAGCTTTCGCCAATGTGTCATTTTTCATTTTCCAATACTTTAATTGTTTGTCTAATTGAACCTCTTTTTGAGTTGGAGAATTATTTGCAACCAATGGTTTGAAAACCTTATACAACCTTGAACCTTCTTTTCCTATTGTATTAATAGTTAGTAGGCAATTCTAGATAAAATATGAGCTCTGTTCATACCTTTGACTTGCATTCTGAATAAATGAGTTAGATAAGACTATTGAAGTGAAGACAACCTGGTGTTTAGTTAAGGAAGTTGGCAAAAAACATTTGGCAACCAAAAAAATAAAAGCTCGCACTCAGGATCGAACTAAGGACCAACAGATTTGCAATCTGCTGCGCTACCACTGCGCCATACGAGCTTCTACATTTTTAAAAAAATTCATCAGAAATTCACAAGGTGTAAATTTATATCACGTGACAAAAATGTTTTCGTTTATATTGGCCTGAATGTTTAGGTAGTTTTCTGTCTATTTGGTTGAACATACTTTTACAAACCTTTAGTATACCTCGAGGTAAGAATAAAAAGTTTTGGGGTTCACTTGGATGAGATATTCATGTTTTAAATTTTGTATGGACGCGTGACAATCGCGTGACATACGCGTGATCAAACTTTTTGGATTTTCAAGGGTTCGGGCGATTTGCAATAACTGCCATAAATAAGACTATATACATCTGTCTATGTTTATGTCTAGGGTGAATCTAGATAAGTAAATAGAAGCAGAAGTAGGATTTGTGTTTCGATTGGGGTGGGCTCCCTCAGCTACTTGAAACGTTGCGCAATTTGAGTTCACTAAAAGATGTTCTTATCTTTCGATATAAAGCATCGAGAGGTTCTAGGAGATAATACGAGAGGTTGTTCATATGAGTCTAATGTTGTGACGGTTTTGTAAAGAGTACGAAAATAGTAAAGTAAAGTGGAAGCTTATACATTTGGTCCAAAATTTTGCAAACTTCATAGAAAAAAAAATTACAAACTTCGCAACCAAAGGAATCTTCATTGAAAAAGGCTCAAACCTCTTTCGAATGAAGTCAGAATAGATTAATTTTGCATAGTTCGCCTCAGAATCCGGGAACACTACGACATTTCAAATCTACAAAAGTCGTATGTGCATAGCTGTTCTTGGAACATAGTTAAAAAAATACTCTCCAGAACCCCCTTAGCACTACAACGCCAGTCGACATGCAACTAGCCCTAGCCGCCAAGCACATCGGAGCCAGCATCGCCACACTCGGACTAGGAGGAGCCATTTCAGATCACCCGCTTCAGGGAGAAGATGGATGATGTTCTTGCGACATTTTTGTATTGTTTTATTCTCCATTGTATTTCTCAGACGTGTCACATTTAGAGTTATTTCTGAATGCCACGCTGGAATTTTAAAGGAGGATATTTCCTTTCATTCCATATTTCTATTTTATATAGAAAGACAGACATCTTAACTTACAATCTATGAATATATATTTTGCTTATAATTTAGTTCTTAAGAGATATTATTAATAACTGAATATAACTTCGAGGTTAGTCACCTGTTAGTTCAATACTTAAATCATTTATTACTATTTAATATAGTGGTAAATTGTAAGTGAAATATTACCGGTAGAGAGTAAAGAACAAGCCCATTAATTTATCGTAAATGAAAAAAGAAAGATTTTTTTGCAAAACTTTAAATTGTTCGGAGTTCAGGAAGACAGCCACTTGATATTATATCAAACCCACATCAGCTTTTTGAATCTCATAAATTAGTTTACTATTATTATTGTATATCAGAGTGATAGTGTAACCCGTTTTCATTAGTAGTATACACAAATAGGAGTCGATAAGCAACCTACTCGTCGGTGAAAGTTGCAATGTATTGATTCTAAAAATAACAATAATTTTTGTTCGTATTTGAAATACCTTATTTACTTCTCATCAAATACGAATGTAAGCCAAAAAATTGACTTGATCTGTCTATTATACACCTAATTCTATTATTAGAAAAGCCTTTCTTTAAGGCACATTTCCGGAAGTGTAAGAAATGCCGAAGATCTAAAGAACTCTTGGTTTCTTTACTTGTTTACACAAAACACTTACAATCCGAATGCCTTTGTTAGACGAACAACATGATATCAGAGAACAATAAGAATAACCTTTGGAACCATTTGTAATTATATTATTAATGTACAATGATATGTGAATCTTTCACTAGAAGGTCAAATTAGCCGAGATGTCCAATATGGTTTTTAGTGATTGAATTCATGAATTAGTCAGAAGCCATGTGTACCTCACGCAATCAATGTAACATAGTGGCGCCCACAAAACGTTTGTGGTTTATGCAAAAAGGATGTGTCATGTAACTACCACCTTGTGTGGCAATCTATGTCAAAAGATAACGGAAAAAATTAAACAATTGTTGCAGGCAAACTCATAACCCAAGTGAAAAAATACTCCGGATCAATGTAAATTGGCAAGGCAATAATTTATCCGGTTTAAAAATAATAATATAACTTACGATCATGAAACGTGTACTCAACTGAATAAAATTGCGCTTTTGAAAATTGAGTGTGCAGTATAAATTTTTGAACCAAACGCTCATAGACAGATGATTCTATGCAGCTGTATGCCGTCCCCAGGAATATTTCTTTCCTAATACATGCATGTATGTGTATAGTGATGGATAATGTAATTGTGAAATAAAATATTTTTTACAAATCTTTGATGAATTAGGTTTATTTTTTATGTATGAAATTAATTGTCTGTACCTTTTTTCTAACGCAAGATAATAATTTTCCAAGTTTCCATTTAGCAACGCCTTATTGTTTTCAAAACAAAAAAATTTCAAAGGCGGTTATTTATAGAAAGAAGAAGTTCTTTTGATTTCTCTCTAACTGATTGATCCCAAAATATTTTATTTTTGGATCTTTTATTTTCTGTCGATAGATAGTGGGGAGAAATTATCACTACGGCGTTGTAAATGAATGAATGACCACGTAAAACAGAGAGAGGAGATTATTCAGGTCCATAATTTTTTTTTGGGTTTAAAGGGAGGTTTCAGGGGGGATGCCAAGAAGAGCAAGCTTACAGGGAGATGAATGACATGTTCATTGACTCAACCCAAGAAAAAATGAGGAGTAATTACCTAGTGATACTTTGCACAACGGAATATGGTCGAGAAAGAGTTTTTTCAACTGCACCCCAGTGTGTCAGCCCTGACTCACGAGTTGTAAACAAATGTAATTAAATTTCTGCAAGACAACAGGTGAACATTTCAAAAGAAAAGAGACACCCAACCGTAAATAGTCATCTCGTTTAAACGTTTCTTCTCAAATTTTTCTTGGACAGGGTTCTCTCTGTGGACCTGACCGGACTATCCGCCCGGGCTTTGGTACTGTTTTTTGTTTTTCATTCTTTCGCATCCGACCGCTACGGAACGGACGCCTTAATTTTTTTTGGGTCGATGGATGCAAAAACACCTGAAGAGAAGAAGATACACATAATAATCTCTATTATAATTAATATATTCAAGAAATGAAAAACTATAAAACAACCAATGGCAAATCAGCCAAACTATTAACTTCTATAAAAAAACCCATTAAAAAACCCATATGAATAAATAAATAATCGTAAACACCATAATAATAACCCTTAAAAACCCAACTCTATTTTTATACTTTCGATTTTCTTAATTCAATTACTGAATCAATGATATCTCCAATTACATCTAAACCCCAAGTCATTGGTTTACTAAATGTATAATCAATACCAATTGATTTAAACAACTTCAAATCCAGAGGACTATTCATTGTAGTAACTGCAATTAATCCCCAATTATTCTTAGTTGAATCAAGTCTAATATGTTGAGCTAAATCAATACCAGTAACTTCTGGCATTTCAATATCTAAAAAAACAACATCAAATTTATTGACTGTTAAAATATCTTTAACTAATCTAGAATCTTGTATTTGTGTTATTGTTGATCTTGGATATATTTTGGATAAAATTCGATTTAATATTTTTAAATTAATTAAATTATCATCAACAATTAAGAAATTATATGGAGTAAGATTTTTAAAGGGTTGGATTGAAGGTCTGGTAGTCGTTATATAATCTTTTTGAATAGGAGGTGTACATACTTCAAATGGAGGAGTTAAGGGTGAATAAGCTTCTTCTTCATTATTGAATGGGTTTATATCGATTTCAAAAGTATCTTGATATTCTTGTTCTTCTTGTTCATCTTCGTCACTACTTCCATCCAGTTCTCTATCAGATACTGTTTCTACTGATAAGGTCGGTTTATTGATGTGATAATCTGTTAATGATTTTATGGTTGATAATGATACTTGTGAAGATACAGATGAAGGAGTCAGAGTCTCGTTGGTGGCTCTGCCAAAGTATGGAATTGGTGTAAAGTAGTCCATCTTTAACATAATTGATCAGTTTCCTATATTGCTTCTTATTGAATAAAAGGGGGACGCGTTTGATTTTCCTCAATATATAAGTGGTATATCTTTTTTGCAGGATATGTTAATTCGCAAAAAAGGGTTGAATGTGTAAAATGCAAAATTCTATTCGGAGATATTTGGTAAGTCCGGAATACTAGGAACGCATACACTAGCGAATAAAGTAAGTGGTAGTAAATAGTAATACAGTTGTTGTAAAATGCAATCTAGTAGCGATTGGATAGGGGAGAGCTTGATATATAAAAAAGTACAGATTGAGAAAAACAGTAAAAATTTTTATCTAGAAAATTCTATTGGGATTCATTCATTGATTATATATAAATACAGATTAATTTAATAATATAAGGCGGTTTTATTTTTATTATTATTATTTATTTTTATTTATTATTGCTCATTATTTTTTAAAATTTTTGCGTTTTTTGTGGTTGCCGGTTTCATAAGCTTATTTTTTATTTTTATGCAGCATACATAAAAAAATAATTTGGATCTTCACAAACAAAAAGATTTAAAAAATATTCTTTTACAATAAAATTTAATTTTTCTTCTTTCTTTCTTCTGCCCCTCGCAGAACAACCGCAAAGAAAGAAACTAAATTAGTGATTTGTTACAGTATAAATTGAAATGGTAACAACTAACGATTGAAAAATGTGGAGATTATAAATACATAGAATAGACTCCCGGGATCTACAACGTCCAAGAGAGACAAACCCACATGAAAGAATCAACTGTACGAGAAAGCGAGAACCCATCTCAATCTGCTACCCGCCGTCAAAACTCACTGTTGATGATCGCCTATTTGTACATACATAACCATTATTAAACGTTTCATAAATGTAGGCGAACGACTTTATTTGTTCTCTTAAACGCCAAATACTTTCAATCATCACACGCTTATCTTCAGTTGAAATTAGTGTTTTAAGAGACTATGTGAATGTACTGTACCACAACACAAACTATTGTTGTGTTTTGCTTTGCTGGACAAAATTTTTCAAAATTTTCTTTCACAATGAAAATCATTTTTCATTTACCAAATGTAGAAAAACTTAAACCTTTTGTTGCTTGTCGTTAGTTCTTTACTTTGAGTATTGATCTGTAATTTAAGTTATTTCAACCCCTGCGTTTGACTAAAAAAATGGGTTGCATTTATAAATATTCTTTTTAGTCCATACCATGATGTTACCTCACTCTAAACGAGCCAACGTAGTTGCTAAATATTTCAAGTTGAAACCCGGTGGTTCCACAGGGGGAGGCGCCACACATGATAATCAGTCTTTTTCGGAGAACAGTATACTAACCCGATTGTGATAAGCTGATTACCTTTATTTAAGGTTTTTCTCGGAGTTATAAGTAAATGGCTCAGTAAATGGCTTGAAAGATATTTTCGATATTGACAACACAACACTGTGTGTCTAGTAGCCTCTAACATACAAGCTTGGTTACTAAGTAAGAAATGGTAGAGATTGCAACATAACCAGAATTCCAGAGCTCATAAAACTAAATTCACGTTTTCTTACCAAATGAGTGTCTACCCGTGTTGAAAGGAGTAATGTATGAACTTGGTATCTACATTTTATTTTTCTTTGTGTTTTATCACCAAAATGTGAATTAGACATTTGGCGAGAGAAGTGAATGTTACACAGAGTTATTGTTTTCTTTGTTTTTTTCGGTAGTTGTACCCCTAGTGGCTACGATCATACGGTAATTTATATTTTTAATGGTATATTTACACATCATCCTATGCAGTCAACTGTTTGATACAAGAATGTCTCAAAACTTAAAATTCTAAAAATGTTACAACTTACTATGCTGGCTAGACACATTTCATTTCATCTCTAATCAAGTTGCTCTTCTCCATCTGATCCCTTCTCTCTCGTTATTCATTTTGGTAATTTGAGCAATCTCACTCATCAACTTAATACACTTGTCAATATTCTCTCCTCTTGGTGCACATACAGGAACAATTTTCCAATCTGGATGATAGTTTTCCAAATGTTTTTTCAATGAATGATAATTTTCACCATGTGCACTTAAATCGGCTTTGGTTGCAACAATCAACACTTGTTTATCTTTCATTCTTTTTTCACCGACTTCTTCCAATAATAAATTCAAATCATCAACCGGATTTTCAGAATCTAATGCTATTACAAATACTAATCCTGCTGATCTTTCAATATGTCTAAGGAAATCCAATCCCATCCCTTTATTTTCCGATGCTCCCTTAATAATACCAGGAATATCAGCAACAGTGAAAGGATCTTTATCAATTGTAGTGAAGATGGTTCCTACAGTTGGTTGTAAGGTTGTAAATTTCCAATCTCCAACTCTTGGTCTTGCTCTTGATATAGCTCTTAATAAAGATGATTTACCAGCATTAGGTAATCCAACTAAACCTAAATCAGCAATTAACTTCAATTCAAATAAGAAATGTGCCGTAATTCCAGGACGTCCAACTTTACAGAATCGAGGATTACGAATATTATTAGTTAAGAAATGCATATTTCCCATTCCACCTCTACCACCTTTCAAAATCAACATTGGTTTTTCCATAACTTTATTACAATCAAAACCCAACATTGGGAATTTATCATACCTAATCTCTTCATCAATAGTTTCATTATCATATTGAACAACTCTTTTGTTCAATTCCTTAAAAAAATCTTTCGACCTATAAGTTTCCTCATCAGCATCTTTAAATACCCAACCTTCGCCCGGATTATATCCACCTCTAAACAACTGAATATTATTATAATCATCACATTTCATCTGAAGAAATAAATCATCCAAAGTCTGCCCCTCCTTCCAACTCAAATATCTCCTCAACTCCGCTGGGTCAGGTATCCATCTAATCATCGTGCCCCTTGGGACTTCAATCACAACATCCTCACCAAGTTTTCCATCCAATTGATCCCCAGAACCAGTTAAACCCGGTTTCGCAACATATGCACTCCTCAAACCATGCAATGAATTCAACCCCGATTCAACCACTTTGATATACACATCCCCCCCATTTCCACCATCACCCCCATCAGGAGGACCAGTCGGTTTGAACGCATCCCTAAAGAATGACACACATCCATTCCCACCATTCCCACTCACCATTTTCACGATTTTCAAATCCACAAATTTTTTGTTTTCAATCTTGGCGGCCCGTTTGGCGAATTGGGCCATAGTGCTGGAATAAAAGACATGATGGGAATGATGGGCATTACCCAGGAAATAACCAGCAAATGAAAGACATCTATCCGTTAAGCCAATTCGATCCCTAGTGGTGAGGGGTGTATAAGTAATAGAAGTGTTATTGTCGGAGATTGTGACTGGAGGGAATTGACTGGGTGGTTCTTCGGTGTGGAGGATGAAGTTTGGTAATGGTTCTCCACTGGCTTGGGAATGGAGGTGACGTTCGAATTCTGGTTCGTTTGATTCTGGTTCCGGGTCGAATTCTTGTTCGAGGTCGAGATCGAATTCGGTAACATATTCTTCATTATCGGGGGTTTTCTTCCGGTATAAACAAGTTCCCTGAGAGAAGTGTCTGGTTGGGATTGTTTGCCTCGTTTGTAATGGTCGCAATGTATGCCATGCTCGAAATGTTCTTATCATTTTTGATGGGGCTAAGAGGGGATTAGATATTCTGTGATTGGAGAGATATTTGGGGGAAAATAAATTTGTTCGATGGGGGATGAAAAAAATCGGTGCGAAAATTTAAAAGTGATGGTTGCAAACTGGAATCATTAAATAGCCAAACCCTAATCAGCTCAACAACGAATAGAAACTTCTTGAAAGGGAGGCAATAACCAGTGAATTGGCCAACGTAATATCCAATCTATCTCTGCAATAGAACCAATTCAACATAGGCTGACTAAGTCACCCATTTGTGCAGTTGGTATTCCAGAACAGGATCCTTGCTTTACCAATAGAATGCTTTATCATATCCATACATGTTAAAGATTCTACTTAGATGCAAATTTAGAGAGACGTTTCAGAATAGGCAAACCTTCGCCTTTCTGAAGGAACCGCTCATGGACATCTCCACCGCTACCGGAATTAACATCTACACGTGACTCCCCGGAATTTTTCAATTTTTTTTCTTTTGTTCGCTACAATTGATAAACGAGATGATCTTCACAATTTTCAATAACCCCCCTACAACCCAAAGTCAAACCATACCCAACATGTCATTCAAAGAATTAGGAGTCGCAAGATGGCTCAGTGAAGCCCTAGATGCTATGAAAATCTATACCCCAACTGCTATTCAATCAGCCTGTATACCCGCAATTCTCAAGGGGCATGATTGTATTGGGGGAGCAAAAACCGGTAGTGGTAAAACCATCGCCTTTGCTGCACCTATGATGACACAATGGTCAGAAGATCCATTTGGGATTTTTGGATTGGTGCTTACACCAACTCGAGAATTAGCTCTTCAGATTGCTGAACAATTTGCGGCATTAGGTGCCAATATGAATATTAAAGTGAGTGTGATTGTTGGTGGGGAGGATATCGTGAAACAAGCACTTGAATTACAAAAGAGACCACATTTTGTGATTGCTACTCCTGGAAGATTGGCTGACCATATTTTAAATAGTGGGGAGGAGACTATTAAGGGGTTGAAGAGTATTAAATATTTAGTGCTTGATGAGGCTGATAGATTGTTGAGTAATAGTTTTGCTAGTGATTTGGAACGATGTTTTAAAGTGTTACCATCCGGTGAAAAGAGACAGACTTTGTTGTTTACTGCTACTGTTACTGATGCAGTACGTACTTTGAAAGATAAACCTACACCAAAGGGGAAATTACCCGTGTTTATGCATGAAGTTGAAACAGTAGATAAAGTTGCTATTCCATCTACTTTAAAAATCAAATATGTATTTGTACCTTCATATGTCAAAGAAGCATATTTGAATAGTATACTTAAACTTGATCAATATAAGGATTCCACCGCGGTTATATTTGTGAATAGAACCATAACTGCCGAAGTCCTTCGTCGTACTTTAAGAAAACTTGAATTTAGAGTTGCATCGTATGTAAGTGTTTACGGAGTTCGACTTGCATATTTGAGGAATGTATCTAAGTTTCGCGGTGCAGCTAGGATTCTTATTGCTACAGATGTTGCATCTAGAGGGTTAGATATTCCAAGTGTTGAATTAGTGGTGAATTTCGATATTCCTGCCGATCCAGATGATTTCATTCATAGAGTAGGTAGAACTGCAAGAGCAGGTAGAAAGGGGGATGCGATCTCGATTGTTGGGGAGAAAGATATAGAAAGGTAGGTTTCATAACTTCTTTCTTATTTATTTTTCTACCTAAATAACCTTCTTCAGTCCGATGATAAAGTTATCAAGGAGTCTTTGACTACAACTTCGGTAGCTAAGCGTGAATCAATGATGGAGATGGATAAAGAAAACTTTGGGGAACGTAGAAAGATCAACAAGAGAAAACATGGGAAGGAAGAACCAGTTAAGAAGTTTAACAAGAAGACTAAAGCATAGAGATAATTTATAGAATTTTAATTAATAAATAAATAACATTAAAGTATATACACTCTATCAAGACTCCTGTAGATATTCATCTATTAACATCGATATATTAATAGCCGCTAGGGTTATGATAATACCAGTCATAACAATCATCGTACTAAGATTATTAAAACTATAAGTTTGAATCTTACGCTGAGCATATCTCAGTACCGTAATAAAATAATTAACCCCACTAATTATTAAAACAATCAATGAAAAGAACAATAAAGCATATGACATTCCAGTAGCAAATCTTGTATGATACTTCTTATAGCGATCACTGGGATCAGTTGGCTGTTTGTCACCAGAAGTATCCAATTTGAAATTTAGGATTATACCCAAGGCAGTAAAGAATAATGCGGTTGAGAATCGTATAAAGGTCAAACATGTTCTTTCCAGCTGTAGCACATCTCTAGGCTCTGATGTTAGCACTTTTAATACTAAACTATAAGGAAATATACTAGTATGTGTTGTCGAGGGTTGTTGTTCTACTGTTTCTAAAATGGTTTCTACCAGAGATACCGATCTTACACGTTCTAGCCTTGGCGAGCATGTTCCTGAGCGAATAGCGCCCTGTGGAGGGACATATACCTCGATATTTGAATCCAGTTCCATTATATCTGTCATTGCAAATCCAACTTCTCCCTTTTCAATTCTTTTATCGAACAGCTGTTGCTTCCTCTGTTGGGGTTCCGTCTCGGTCTATAGTATCTTCTGTATGACTGAGTAGCCGATTTAGAGTTTTTCAGCACAGAAACACGTTATTTTTTTAATTTCTTTTTTTAATATGGATGGTTGTATGCAGTCCCTCTTATTTCTTGTTTTTAGTAGTGCAAACCACATTTTTACATGATACTTTCCTTTACAACAATAACAACCAGTACAACTCACCCCCGGTCCCCCCCACAACACATAGTCCGCAGTGAGGAGGTGGTGAGATTTCTTCATCTACAGCTATACTCATGTTTTCAGTTATTACAACAAGCGTGTAAAAACTGTGGACATACCCACTTTGCTGTGAATAGATATACAGCAGCAGGAGATGTTTCATGTCTTCGATGTGGAACAGTATTGGAAGAAAATCCAATTGTCAGTGAAGTCCAATTCGGTGAATCTTCCTCAGGTGCAGCTATGGTACATGGTGCCATGGTTGGAGCTGATCAAGCTAGAGCAACATTTGGTGGACGTCAAAATGCCATGGAAAGTAGAGAACAAACTTTAGCTAATGGGAAACGAAAAATAAGAAGAATAGCTGCTGCTTTAAGTATTCCTGATTATATCGCTGATGCTGCTGGTGAATGGTTTAGATTGGCTTTGACCTTGAATTTTGTCCAAGGAAGAAGATCTAATAATGTATTGGCGACTTGTTTATATGTTGCTTGTAGAAAGGAAAAGACTCATCATATGTTGATTGATTTTAGTTCAAGATTACAAATTTCAGTGTTCTCGTTGGGTGCAACTTTTTTGAAAATGGTTAAAGCTTTACATATTACATCGTTGCCTTTGGCTGATCCGTCACTTTTTATTCAACATTTTGCTGAGAAATTGGATTTTAAAGAGAAGAATACCAAAGTGGTAAAAGATGCAGTGAAATTAGCACAAAGAATGTCAGATGATTGGATTCATGAAGGTAGAAGACCTGCAGGTATTGCAGGAGCATGTGTATTGTTAGCTGCAAGAATGAATAATTTTAGAAGAACTCATGCCGAAATTGTGGCTGTTGCTCATGTTGGTGAAGAAACTTTACAAAGAAGATTAAATGAATTTAGAAAAACAAAAGCCGGTGAATTAACTGTGAAATCATTTAGAGAAGTTGAAAAACTTGAAAGTTCGAATCCACCTTCTTTTACTAAGAATAGACAATTAGAAAGAAAAATTAGTAGACAATTAGAATTAGAAGAAAAGTTTTCGAAATTGACTGATAAAGATGACGAATTGGCGAAGTTGCCTAAAGAAGAAAAAGAAAAGCAAATGTTATTAAATACCATTTTGACTGATATTACTTTAACTCAAGATGAAATATCAAGTGAAATTGATAGGATTCTTAAAAGAAAGAAGGAAAAATTGAAAAATGCCCTTTATAGAACTCCATATGAACAAACTGACACACGTGAAAACGATTTAGATAAAATTTGGAATCTTAATTGGCCCAAAAACTTAGTTAAGAACTTACCCAAAACTGAAGACATTTTGAAAAGTGTATCATCCGAAGTTGAATTGAATTCTGACGATGACGATGAAATAGTATTAGAAAGTCAATTAACAGCCGAAGAAAAAGAAATGAAAGAAAGAATATGGACTGGTCTTAATCATGACTTTTTAGTAGAACAAGAACGAAAAAGATTAAAACAAGAAGCAGATGAATTAACTGGTAATACTTCAGCATCTAATCGTCGTAAAAGAACCAGAACTACTTCCTTACCACCAGAATTACGTGATGCATTCCCAGGTGTTCAAATCCATGATGACGGGACTGGAATATCAGCTGCTCATAGTGCTACTTCACATATTCAAAAAACAGCTGTTTCGAAAAAGATTAATTATGAAAATCTTCAAGGATTATTTAACCCTGCAAACCTAAATTAGAAGTTGTTGTTTTTATATTATTTATTTGTTTAGTAGGTTAGTCTTTATTGGGTTTGTTTGAAAAGTGTTGGGTTTATGAGTTCTCTTCTTCTTCTTATTACTATTAATATTTGGTAATATTGTAAATATGGTTTCTACATTTAAGTTCAATATAAAATTTAATTTAATTGTTTAAGGCAACCGGGTAAGTTAAGACAGCGATGGTTTTTTATTACAGTAAAACCTAAACGCCAACCAACGTTTTTTACAAGCACCTTCAAGATTTGGGTATATTCACTCTTCCTCTATTCGTGCACTCCAAACAATGTCAGGGAAGCGTAAAAGAGCATTGGAACGTGGGGCTAAGATTGATTTAGCTTTTCAAGCATTGTCTGTTATTCCTAAACCCTCCGTAAGCTCCATTGCAAGAAAATTTGGAATCTCTCCGTCCACCCTTCAATTTAGAGTGAATGGGGGCCAGAATAGAGTTGCAGCTCATGAAGATCAGATGCCAGTGAAGCTAATCCAAGAAGCAATGCTTGCTAACTGGATTTTAAGAAGTAGCTTTGAAGGTAGACCTGTTAGTCGTAGGCAATTGATTGGTTTTGCTGCTGAAATTGCTATCGCAAATGGCTATGAGAATAAATTGCCACCATATTGGGTGAAAAAGTTCTTGGACAGGCATAATGATCTGAAAAAAGCAACCCAGCAAACTATTATCCCCTCAGTGATACCAGAAGCTGTTGCTGCAGAAGCATTGCTAGATCATACGGTAAGGCTCTTCGAGAGGACGAGGTTTCACCAGAAGATACTTGGAGTATAGAGGAGACGGGTCTAAAAACGGGTCAAGGTAGCAACGAAATGGGAGCTATAGAATTACCAAAGTTAAGAAAGGCTTCAAATGGTAAACAGTGTGACGAAGCTAGGATAATTGGTATGTCTTGGCAGAATAAAAAACTTCTTGCATGGTTCCAGATAATGTCGGGAAAACGACTAGTTCACAACTTACGAAGGCGATGAACCCACTCGATCCGGAAACTCCTCCCAATGAATGTCTAACCATTGAATTCACAAGTCCCAAGAAACCAAAAGAGGCATATAAGAGTTTGGCTAGATTGACTGATCAAACACTTTCTCCAAGAACCAGAGCGGAGCATTCGTGGAACATTTGTCGGTTTATGGAAAAGCAGGTAACAGAAATCTAAAAATCAAGAAACAAAGAGATTACAGGCTGAACTAGAGCCCAAGAAACCTCAGAGTAAAAGAAACGTTTCAAGCCTGAACTTAACAAGCTCTTTAAACAAGGATAGGAAATTTTTGGAGAAGTGGCCTGGGTAGGTCTGGAAAGGCAGAAAAATGAAGAGAGGAAGCATCCCGAAAAGGTAAAAACTAAAATGAAAGAGAACTCTAAGAGGAATCAGACTGCCCTGTCCCGTACAGACAGGGTTAATTTGTTCATGTAAAGTAACTCCATATATATAGCTAAATAAATTTGTGCTTCTTTGTAACCGACAACTGGTTCCAAACGATCGTTTTTTGTAACAAAAATTGTTAAATAATATTTGCAGCAAATTGATTTCTTTTTTTCCAGTGCTATATTTTCTCTCTCATCGCACTGTCAAATTTGTTTGCTTGCTAGTACGGGAATTCGCACCAGGCTAGTTTCGCTACGCCAAAAAAAAAAAAATTCCATAGCAGAGATGCCCATCTCTCTCTCTTTATCAAAACCATTTCTTAAAGGAAGCTACATACCACAAAGGAAAACTTAAACAACAAGCATGGGAAAGAAAAGAAGAGCCGCTATTTTACCTACCAATATCATTCTCTTACAGAATGTTGTACGTAGAGATCCAGAATCTTATCATGAAGAATTTTTACAACAATATTCTCATTATGAATCATTAAGAGATTTATTCCTCATGAATCCAGCTGGAGCAGATAGAGCTACTGAATTTGGAGATTTGATTGGATTCGTATCTGCTGTTTGTGCTTGTTATCCTAAAGAAACTGCTAATTTCCCAGAAGAATTAAAGACGATTTTATTAAATACTCATCGTGATTTATCCCCTGATTTAAGAGAAAAGATTATTCAATGTTTAACAATGTTAAGAAATAAAGATATAATCAGTGCTGAATCTTTGATTCAAACAATCTTCCCACTTTTGACTGCTTATAGTGCTGCTAATTCTCATGCTGGACAACATGTTAAACAAATGAGGCGACAAATTTATACCACCTTGATTTCGTTGTTAAAATCAGTAAATACTGGTGCTAAGAATCAAAAATTAAATAGATCAACTCAAGCTTTATTGTTTAATTTATTGGAACAAAGAGATAATCAAGGTTTATGGGCTACTAAAAATTGGTCTCTTAATACCTCTTCTCCATAAACCCTACTAAGTGCATGCCAACTTTTCATGACTCAAGCAGCATTACATCCAGATGCTAAAGTTGCGATTGCAGGTGCTAGATTCTTTTTAGGTGCCGACAAGGAAAGAGAAGAAAATTTTGATGAATCTTCTGATGAAGAAGGATTCGATATGAATGAACTTAAACATAAATTAAAGGTCAATAAGAAATCTTCAAAAAGAGGAAAGAGATTAGAACAAGCAGTCAAACAAATGAAAAAGAAAAACGGTCCAAAACATTCAGCTACTTATTTAAACTTCTCCGCTATCCATTTATTAAGAGATCCTCAAGGTTTTGCTGAACAATTATTCACTAATCATTTATCCAGTAAAAACTCCAATAAATTCGATCTTGATCAAAAAATCACATTTATGAACCTTATCTCAAGATTAATCGGTACCCATAAATTAATCGTCTTAGGTATCTATTCATTCTTTTTGAAATACTTAACACCAAAACAAAGAAACGTTACACAAATCATGGCCGCATCCGCCCAGGCTTCTCATGATTTAGTCCCCCCTGAATCAATCCAAACCGTAGTCAGAAAAATCGCCGACGAATTCGTTAGTGATGGTGTGGCTGCAGAAGTCGCCTCCGCCGGTTTGAATACCATTCGTGAAATCTTATCCAGAGCTCCATTAGCTATCGATGCTACATTATTACAAGATTTGACTGAATATAAAGGATCGAAATCAAAAGCAGTTATGATGGCAGCTAGATCTTTGATTTCTTTATATAGAGAAGTAGCCCCAGAAATGTTGTTGAGGAAAGATAGAGGTAAGACTGCCAGTATTGGATTACAACATGGTGAAAAGGCAGGATTACCTCAATATGGGGTTGAGAATACTGTTACTTCTATTCCTGGTCTTGATTTGTTGATGAAATGGAGAAAGGAACAAGGAATTGAAGGAAATGAAGATGAAGAAGATGATGCTAATTGGGAAGTTGAAGAAGATGAGGATGGTGATGATATTGAAGGTGATTGGGTTACCGTTGATTCTGATAAGGAAATTAATATCTCCGATAGTGAAGATGAAAAGGATGACGAGGAAGAAGATGACAAAGAAGAAGAATCTACCAAGGAAGGAGAAGTTTCTGATTTGGATTTATCTTCCGATGAAGAAGAAGAAGAAGTAGGCGATGACGATGAATCTGATCAACCTCCAAAGAAGAAGACAAAGACTGAACCTACCAAACAAGAACAAGCAGAAGAAGCCCAAAAAGCCATGAATGAATTATTGTCCAGTAGAATCTTAACTCCTGCCGATTTCGCCAAATTAGAAGAATTAAGAACAGAAGCAGGTGTAGCTAAAGTCATGGGTATTGTTAATGAAGAAGAAGTTGATTCTACTACTTTGGTAGGAAAGGTCAAATACAAACAATTACGTGAAGAAAGAATTGCTCATATGAAAGAAGGAAGAGAAGATCGTGAGAAATATGGATCTAGAAAGGGGAAGAGAGAACAACCACATTCTACTACTAATAAAGAAAAGGCAAGAAAGAAGAATTTCGTAATGATGATTCATAAGAAGGCAGTCCAAGGTAAGCAGAAATTATCTTTACGTGATAGACAAAAGGTTTTACGTGCTCATATTGATAAGCAAAAGAAGAAGGGTCATTAGCTTTAAGGTTTTCAAACGTTATGTAAATTATACAGTATATAGAGGATAATTATAAAATTAAAAAAAAAGAATCTTCTTGTAATAGTAGTTGTAGTAGTAGAAGTGACATACATATGTTGATGATACAAATTAACAAATACAAATAAAATAAAATATCAAATAAAACAAACCAATTCAGTTAAAACAGGAGAAGTGAAAATCTAGGACACAGGAATTATAACAAAACTTAATTAGCAGCATGAGAAGATGATGATGAAGAAGACTTCTTTTTCTTCTTTTCACTTCTTTCCTTGTCAGATTTACGTTTCTTATGAGATTTCTTTGGAGCTTCAGAAGAACTACTTTCAACCTTTGGGGGTTCAACAACAGGAATCTTAACTTCAGGCTTTTCTTCTTCGACTACAGGAACCAAAGAAGCAATAGAAACGTCAGCATCATGTTTATCATCCTCTAACTTAGTTTGATATTTTTCCTTTAAGACATTATAATCTTTTAATTCACTTCTATATCTATCTTGCCATTTTTGCTTTTCTTCAGCAGAAATTTCCATCCAACGATCTTTAACAATTGAATTCATTTCAATTGCATTCAAAGAACCCAATCCTTTCTTTTCTCTTTCTTCAGCAATTTGTTTACGTGTATGATAAGCAAACGCGAAATACATAGTCAATGGTTTCTTTGGAGCATTTGGATCTTTGACAAGGAAGAAGAAGAAGAACTGAAGAAAATGAAGAAGGAATACAAGTCCTCGTCGTCGGACAGCAGCAGCAGCAACATCGGCAGGATTAAGGGTTTCACCATTAGAGATGGTGGCTTTGGCAATTTGTCCTAATGAAGCACTTAATTCGGCCAATTGGTCAGCTGGAAGGGCATCGACATTGGCAGTTTTGTAGAAGTTTACAGCAGCAGCAGCGGCTTCTTGAGCAGCCTTGGATAATTCAAAAAGGGAAGCTACGAGGGCATCCTTCGAGTTCTTTAAGTCAGACATATAAGATATTTTTTTTTGGTCTTTTGCGAATGAGATGGTAGTGCTCTGGTAGTGAGAGTTTGAAATGTTTTCGTGGTGGGAAATGTGGTGGTGGTGGTAAAAAGAGATTGTGGTACGAAAAATTTTAGGGAGGTGAGAGGGAAGGGGAAGGGAAACGGGGGGAATGCTGGTGGAACTGAAAAAAAAAGCTTTTCTTCCATTCGCTTGACTGTGAAAAAAAAAAAAATTGCATGATTGTTTTCGCACCACGGCGATTTTTTTTACTGACTGTCAGTGAAAAAAAAAAATCGCAACGCGATTAGAATATCATCTGCAAGTTATTTTTTTTTCTGGGACTGGGGCGTACATTTTTCCTGCAACGGAGATTTGCAAACGATTCTGCTCACAACCCAATGAGTCGACTTGCATATTGAATATTGTAGATGAAGAAAACCTATAGAGAATCTGTAGAATAGGGCATCATAACCGGGTAACTTGTAAGGTTCAACACAGACCTATCTCTGAATTCTTAACATAATTTATGCAAAGCCTTGCACGGGGCAAAAAAATATAAAGTTTCAGTTCCGTCCCTCTCCCCAATACCCTACGCGGTCATCTCATTATCTCAGATAGCCGGACAAGACAGAACTACCACGGTAACCAATCTTGAAATAAAAAATTTACTGATATAAGTATATATTGTTTCTCACTATATAATCTAATCTAAACACCTTAACGTTACAAGAAGCATCATTTTGCAAGTTGGAACCACCATGGTTGAGGGAAATAAATTGTTACTCGGTTGGAAAAATAACACCCGCAGGCGAGAGCGGATAATTTTTGATCCAGAAAAAGATTCGAATATCCAGACCGACCCATCCTTTACTCTTTACAAAATATCAGTAAGAGAATGAGAAACATTGCTATCAGATTCCAACAGCTTCGACATAAACATAACTACGCAATAGCATGTCCCGGTCAAGGGTTCTATCGAAACGGATTATTAGAAATCAACAAAAAACACGAATCATTATTTCGTGAATATCTCGAACAAATAGATGAAACATTAGGTGAAAATTTCTCCAAAAATCTCTATGCTCAAGATGAATCAATAGCGAAAGAATGGTTAGGCAAAACCTCAAATGCCCAACCTGCGATATTGGCATCTACATATATCCTTCTGAAAATCATTAATAAACAATATGGAATTGATCTAGTGGGGAATTCCAAATATTTATTAGGACATTCATTAGGAGAATATACTGCGTTGTTATTATCTGGGATTTTAGATTTCCCAACTGCGCTTAAATTGGTACGTAAACGAGGTCAATTGATGGTTGTTTACAAATTATTGTTATTACCCTTTAGGTTTATACCTTACGATCGTAATAAGTTGAGAGATAGTACTACTTTTGATCAAGTCTTGTCCGAAGCATATGATTGGGGAGTAGTTGCAAATATCAATTCCATTAATCAAATCGTCATAAGTGGTGAAAATGATCGATTGATTGAATTTTCCAATAATCTTAGAAAGACATTACCCAAATTAAGAACTATTCCATTACCGGTCTCGATCCCATTTCATAATAAAATCTTGGAATCAATCGTGCCGGAATTATCTACAATAGTTTATGGCAAATTACACGAGCAAAAGATTCCAATTATTTCCAATGTCGATGCGAAAATCTCGACAGTACTGAAGGAAACGATGTCTAAGACATTACAAGGTAATTATCAACCAGTTCGTTGGTTGGAATCAATGCAATTCCTCGAGAAGAATAGTGAAGATATTGATTTTGTATTAAGTTTTGGACCGGGTAATGTTCTTCATGGGATTAATTCTAAATATAAGGTGAAATCCATTGGTGTTGATGATATTGACGAGAATGCGGAATTATTTGTTTCAATGAGATGAGGTGGGCTGTTGTTGTAGTGGCTCAGTTGGGGCTCGCTCAAACTTTAAAGTTTGAGCAAAAGTAACATGATGCCTGAAAAGCCACATTGCTGTTTCTCTAACGCGCAAATTGGTTGATAAGAAATTGTTTAAGTTTGTGTAACTAATTCAGAATCAGAGTCAAAAAAAAATAGAATAGAAAATTTTTCAGATGCAACAACAAACTGCTGCAATATACGATCTCTAACTCCTGTGGCCCATAAAAAAATACTTCAGATGGAATTTTTCAATTTCGACACATTTTTCATTGACAGTATTTTATTTTATTTCCTCTTCTCTCTTCTCTTTCTTCTTCTTCTTCTCTTTCTTCTCTTCATCTTCCAAAAAAGTATAAATCTTATTTATTCACACAATGGTTGCCCAACTCATCGATGGTAAAGCCATTGCCTTACAAGTTCGTACCCGAGTCCATGACGAAATCTCCCAATTCCAATCCAAACACCCAGATTTCAAACCCCAATTAACAATCGTCCAAATTGGTGACCGTCCCGATTCATCCACCTATGTCCGCATGAAATTAAAAGCCGCCCAAGAAGCTTCCATCAATTGTGAAATTATGAAATTACCCGAATCAATCTCGGAATTTGAATTATTAAATCAAGTTGAAAAATTAAATAATTCTTTGAGCGTGGATGGGAAAAACCAAGTTAATGGTAATGGAAGGGTATAACTACTTCGATTCTAGTGGCTGCGCGTTTTGGCTGAAAAAGATGTCGATGGGTTTGGACCTTATAATGTTGGTGAATTGGCTAAAAAGGGGGGTGAACCTTTATTTTTACCATGTACTCCCAAAGGGATCATGCATTTGTTAACTACTTCAGGAGTGGAATTACAAGGTGCTAATGCGGTTGTTTTGGGTAGGTCTGATATTGTGGGTAAACCAATGGCTAATTTGTTAACTAAGGCAAATGCAAATGTTACTATTTTACATTCGAAATCTACGGTGGAACATATTCAAGAATATCTTGCTCATGCTGATATTGTGGTTGCTGCTATTGGACAACCATATTTCATTAAAGGAGGCTGGATTAAACCTGGAGCGGTTGTGATTGATGTCGGAACCAATTTCATTCCTGATTCTACCAAGAAATCTGGTTCTCGTATGGTTGGTGATGTTGAATTTGAAGCTGCTTATGAAAGAGCAAGATTAATCACCCCGGTCCCAGGAGGGGTTGGTCCAATGACTGTGGCATGTTTAAACCTTTTACAGCACTAACGACGATTCTCTGCAATACGTCAGTTATTAGTTTGAGCAAAATTCACCAATCCCTTGAGATTACAATTACAAACTCCAGTACCATCTGATTTTGAAATTAGTCGTGCACAACAACCCAAAAGAATTAATCAAGTTGCTAAAGAAGCTGGGATTTTGGATTCTGAATTAGAACCATTTGGGTTTTATAAAGCAAAAGTATCCCTTGATCTTTTGAAACGTCTACAAAATAAAGTCAATGGGAAATATGTCTTGGTGACTGGTATTACCCCAACTCCTTTAGGTGAAGGGAAATCCACCACTACGGTGGGTTTAGCACAAGCTTTGGGTGCTCATTTACAAAAGAATGTCTTTGCCAATGTTAGACAACCATCAATGGGACCTACATTCGGTATTAAAGGAGGTGCTGCCGGTGGGGGATATTCTCAAGTTATCCCCATGGATGAATTCAATATGCATGTTACTGGTGATATTCATGCTATTACTATGGCTAACAATTTATTGGCCGCTGCTATTGATACAAGAATGTTTCATGAAGATACTCAAAAAGATGGTCCATTATATAAGAGATTAGTGCCTGCCAAAAAGGGGGAAAGAAAATTCACGGCTTCAATGTTGAGAAGATTAGAAAAATTGGGAATTAATAAGACTGATCCAGATAGTTTGACTCCAGAAGAAATTACTGCGTTTGCAAGATTGGATATTGATCCTGAATCAATTACTTGGAGAAGAGTCGTTGATTGTAATGATAGATTCTTGAGAGGAATTACTATTGGTGAAGCACCAACTGAAAAGGGACACATTAGAAAAACTGGTTTCGATATTACTGTTGCTTCTGAATGTATGGCTATTTTAGCCTTAGCTAACTCCTTGCAAGATTTAAGAGAAAGATTAGGTAAGATGGTTATTGGATCTTCTAAAGCTGGTGAACCAGTTACTTGTGAAGATATTGGATGTGCAGGTGCTTTAACTGCTTTATTAAAAGATGCCATTAAACCAAATATTATGCAAACTTTAGAAGGTACTCCAGTTTTTGTTCATGCTGGTCCATTTGCTAATATTTCAATTGGTGCTTCTTCAATTTTGGCCGATAAGATGGCATTAAAATTAGCTGGTACCTCACCTGATTTAACTCCAGAAGAAAGACAAGAACAAGAAGGATATGTTGTTACTGAAGCTGGATTTGATTTCACCATGGGTGGTGAAAGATTTATTAATATTAAATGTAGATCTTCAGGATTGGTTCCAGATGTTATTGTTATTGTTGCTACTGTTCGTGCTTTGAAAGTTCATGGTGGTGGTCCAGAAGTTAAAGCTGGTGCACCATTGGCTCCTGAATATACTCAAGAAAATGTTGAATTATTAAGAGCTGGTTGTGCTAATTTAGCTAAACATATCGCCAATGCTAAATCATATGGATTACCAGTTGTTATTGCCATTAACAAAATGTCATCTGATTCTGATAAGGAACATGAAGTTATTAGAGAAGAAGCATTGAAGGCTGGTGCTGATGATGCTATTGTTTCTAATCATTGGGAAGAAGGTGGTAAAGGTGCCATTGATTTAGCTAATGGAGTCATTAAAGCTGCTAATTCTCCAGACAAAAATTTTAATTTCTTATATGGATTAGAACCATCAGTTGAAGATAAGATTTCCACAATTGCTAAAGAAATGTATGGAGCTGAAGAAGTTGAATTTTTACCAGAAGCTCAAAAGAAGATTGATCTTTATACCAAACAAGGTTTTGGTAAATTACCAATTTGTATTGCTAAGACTCAATATTCATTATCTCATGATGCCAATCTTAAGGGGGTACCAACTGGATTTAAATTTCCAATTAGAGATGTTAGAGCATCTATTGGTGCTGGATATTTATATGCTTTAGCTGCAGAAATTCAAACTATTCCTGGATTACCAACTCATTGTGGATTTATGAATGTTGAAGTTAATGAAGATGGTGAAATTGATGGATTATTTTAGACCTATAGAGAGATTGTCATTCCTTGTAAAAGGGATATATAATCTTTATTGATGATATTATTCAAACATTCAACACTTTTTGATGATGTCATGACCTTTTAATGTTTTTATTATTATTTGTTAGTTATTTGTTAGTATTCTACTATTTTTGGTGATTTTTATATTTAGTTTTTATTTTTCTTCTAGGGTTTCAACATTCGATATTTTTAGACAGTAGTAATTTTTATACGATTGTTAATATATATACACACTATACATTTTTTTAAATTTACATGTAGTTCTCAGTAAGGTTTATAAAACATCAACAGTATTTTTTGCAACCATATTAAATAAAAAATTAGAAACAAGATGGTTATGAGAATAGTTGATAATAATAAACTTTTCTATTCTGCTTCCGGAAGTCCGAATAATAAATTAACGAGAGTTGCTTTAGAGAAGCACGCTTTTCTATTCCTTCTTTTCCAAATAGAAGTATGATTTCTTATTTAATTCTATAAGGTGTATATTCTAGAAGTAGTTTGGTCATGGGAAAGTTAGGCGAAATTGGTTGTAAATCTTTTTTTTGCTAGTGAGGAGGAGATTAATTAAAGATCAGGCGAAAAATAAAATAAAAAAATAAAAATTAATCATCAGCCAAAATGATTTCAACTGACCTTACCTGACGGTAGAATGGAATAAGAGAAAGATTCAGCCTGATCAGAAAAAAAATTTTTATTGAACTAAAAATAAAAAACGTTAAATATACACACCCTCCATTCCCTCAATTGCTTTATTATTATTATTTTTATATTTAAAGATAACCAATCTCTCTTTGTTTATTTTATCTCAACATTCAATTAGTGAATTTCAATTATTCAGTTCCCAATACACTTAATTAATTAAAGATTATTCCATTTTGTCTATTTATAAATTTTGAAAGAATTTTTTTCCGTTCAAATTCCCAACAAACAAACAAAGATTTTTCTCGTTTATTAAAATTAAATTTTTACAATCATCATTAACTCATCGTATCCTGTATTCATATCATACACACATAACCCCCAATATACTACAACTAAGATATATTCGTCATGTTTAGCATCAGAACATTAAGAGCACCAATCCTTAGATCTTCTACCAGATTATTAACTAGATCATTACAATCTACATCAATTGCTCCCAGAGTATTCAATACTTCTAAAACCACCATTGTTAATCAAACTGCCAAATTAAATCAATATAGATCATATAGCGTCTTAACCGAATCTCCAGCAGCTAAACTTTATAATTATGACGATGTAAAAGATGTTGCTGTTCATCCTGAAAATTATCCATCATCAATTTTAGTTGATGTTAGAGAACCAGTTGAATTTAATGATGGTCATATTCCAGGTGCAATTAATATTCCATTTAAAAGTAGTCCAGGAGCTTTAAGTTTATCTGAAGATGATTTCCAAGAAAATTTCGGATTTGAAAAACCAGCTATGGATAAAGAATTGATATTTTATTGTTTAGGTGGTGTTAGATCTACTGCTGCTGAAGATTTAGCCAGTACTTTTGGTTATAAAAAGAGAGGTAATTATGTTGGTTCTTATGAAGATTGGTTAGCAAATGAAAATGCCAATCAAAAGCAAAATGCATAGAGACTACGACCAGCTAGTCAATTTCATTCATATTTAATCAATCATAATCATAATCATCCATGTGTAGTAAACTTCCAAGACGAATGCTACCCTTTTTTGTAAATAGAAACTTCATTATTAACTTATTCCCCATCACCCATTTTGTTTCAAACTTTCTATAATTTAGTAATTTATATATTTATAATTATCTAGTTACATTTTTGTTTATAAATTTTACTTCATTAGTACAATTATTATATTAACTAACTAACGTCTATACTACAAATCTCAACTTCTTGGTTTAAATTCCAATTGTTTAAACTCCTTACCCAATCTCTTCTTTCTCTTCCTTTCCATAACCTTTTCACGTTGTTTAGGTTTCATAGAATCAAATTTGGCCTTTTGTAACATCTTTCTCTTTTCACTACGTTTAAGGAAATATGGATTCTGTTGTTTTCCAACCCTAAAATTCTCCAATTGTTGTTTCTTATGCTGGGATAATATATCATGTTCCAAATCTCGATTCTTAAGCGTATCCAATCTCGATTTTAATGATTGTAAATTCTGTCTAATTTCATCCAATTCATATTCTGATAAATATAAATGTGATTTCTTATCTCGTAATATGGATTCCATTTGTTTGATCTCAGATTGTCGATATTCATCTAAGAATGAATAATCTTTTCTGGCTTTAATCAAGTCGGCTTTCCCATAGGCGGCATCAAATCGAATATCTTTATATAAACTAGAATGTCTATTCGAGGATTCTAAGCCAGGGATTTCTCTGATTTTGGAAACGGGTCTTTTGGAAGATGATTCGGCGGGGGCATGTTTGCTTCGCCTGGATTTATCTTGGATGGTTCTTCTGGAATTCTTCTTAGATGAGGATTCGCGTGGAGCATCATCTTCAGAGTCTGATTCGAAAAACAGTCCTTCCTCTTCATCTGAAGATTCTGATTCAGAAACATATTCCTTCTTACTTTTCTTACTCTTCTTATTGGTCTTACTTGAACTCTTTTTTAGTATTTTAGATTGTGCCTTATTCAAAGCTCCAAAAGAAATCGAAGCCAACTCATCATCATTATCATCCTCTTTTTCTTTTTGTCTACTAGACAATGCATATGTTAATTCATCTCCCGATGATTCCTCAGCATCATCATAATATGAAGGTCTTATCGTTTTTGGTTTTGCCATTTGTTATATACTTTGTGAATGATGGGGATGGAGATATTAGTGAGTGACTAGTGTGATGAGGTTGCCAATTTTTTTTCTTTGATTTGATGGAACTTTGGTGAGGGTGTCCGAATTAGGAAATTATTTCACGTGACTTGATCTGATAATCTTAGCTCACGCTATTTTGTAACACGACGATGGTTTGGAGGATATCGTAGCGGATTTCCCACTTAATTGTTGTAATATAAACTTCACTTGTGAGTTGGCCATATCATGTCATGCATGATTCTATTAGGCTATCATTCGAAGAAAGAGAAACTGACATTGGCATTAGTTAATACAATGTGACACCAAATTTAAGAGTTGGGCCATACTCATCAACAGACAGAACCGGACAATTATGTAGCGAAAGAAACCGTTGTTTCTACAATAGAATTACGTAGGGTGTACGTATAAATATACAACGGAAATCATAGGACACACATCTCATCACAACAATAATTATTAATACACAAAACCGTGCATATGTCATTATATGTAAGCCGCAATTTCGGAAAAACCCGTAAATTGACATTTCATTCAATTTCACTTATGAAAATGACCAAATGTGCTTTCACTAGCCATGTTTCAACTGTCCAATATTCTATCTTTCAGATTGTCAGTGGGTAGGGTGTTTGAATACAGAATGAAACGGGCTGGTCTGCTATGCAGAAAGGGAGAAGTAGAGTTTGATATTACACAATATTGAGAAAACGCGGCATCATCGCGAAAAACAATAGATGTCAAACGAAGAAAACCGCAATAATAGAAAACAGGTATTTAAATAACAGAGGAGTTGGTATAATATTGAACTGACCACTAGAGAACTAAGGACAACAACTGTTTAGTCTGCAACCTATTAAGTTTTAGAAAAATGTGAGTTGCAAATCCGACAACCCGGAATAAATAGGTTTGAAAAAATCAATAGAAAATATTTTTTTACTGTTTATAAACAATTTTGTGGTGTAGAATCATTGCCCCTCTTTCGTTGGTTTTCTGTTTTGTTGTTGAGGAGGAAATCTCCGGGACTCGGGTGAAAAAAGAATTACTGAGTGACGAAAGTTTGCGGGTGAAGAAAAAGCCAAGAGTTTAATTGGTAGGTAGGGTTATAAAACCTTATACTGTACGTTGCAGAACCTTAAATAAGATTTCTGAACGTTACAATAAAAGTATAAAACTTGTACGGCAAACTGATTGATTTTTAATACGAAGTGGCTGTCCGTGGTACTCGTGGTAACAAGTGCGAACTGGGGAAGGAGGGGGAGGAGGGGAATGGGAGTCGTTGGTACGAAAAAAAAAGAATTAATGTGCGACCCGGTAGACGAATGCCCGAGGACGTAGAATTGGAATTTTTCGTTTGTTCATCTCTAACTTTTACTGCACTGTATGTGTCTGTCAAAAAAAAAAAGTTTGTACCGTTGGGCGAGTGAAGAAGTCTCAGACTTGTGTATTATTTTCTCTCTAAATCTTTCTCAATTAATAAACGTTGATTTTTTTTTTTTCATTGAATCCCGAGATTTTCTTGTTTCCCTCTTTCATTTCAACTTTCTTTCTTTCTTTCTTCTTCTTCTTCTCTTCAAAGGGTTTCCTATTCACTTTTAGTTTTACTTTATTTATTCCACATCACATACAATGTTATCCAGAACCATTGCCCGTGCTTCAAGAGTATGTTTCTATTTTTGCTTACCTAAGAACTAATCCAATTTCACCTATAAATCTTTTTCCCGGAGAAACGGTTTTTAATACACTACCGAAATTACATGAAAAATATTCCATAGCTGACAACATCCAGATGCTAATAATTTCATACTACGGTTGGCTATATTGGCAGTTGCTATTATCAGTCGGACATTCCCGTTAGATCAATATGAAGTGGACAACTATCCCATTAAAAATGGAATGTAACAATGAAAACTAGACACTAGATCATAACCACTTGCCAAAAACTAAACTTTCAAGCGTAAAAAGATAGAGGTGTCGATTAACTTTTCAAGATATATACTAACATCACATATTTTCTAGTCTGTTGCCCAACAAAAAAGATTCTTATCTTTACATGAATACCGTTCTGCTGCTCTTTTACAACAATACGGTGTCCCAATTCCAAAGGGTTACGCTGCCACCACTCCAGAAGGTGCTTTCGAAGCCGCCAAGAAATTAGGTACTAATGAATTAGTTATCAAGGCTCAAGCTTTAACCGGTGGTCGTGGTAAGGGTCATTTTGATTCTGGTTTACAAGGTGGTGTTAAATTAATCTCATCAGCTGAAGAAGCTAAAGATTTAGCTGGACAAATGTTAAACCATAAAATCATCACCAAACAAACTGGTGCTGCTGGTAAAGAAGTCACTGCTGTTTATATTGTTGAAAGAAGAGATGCTGCTACTGAAGCTTATGTTGCTATCTTAATGGACCGTGCCAGTCAAACCCCAATGATTGTTGCTTCTGCTCAAGGTGGTATGGATATTGAAGGTGTTGCCGCTAAGGACCCATCTGCTATCAAGACTTTCCCAGTCCCATTAGAAACTGGTGTTTCTGACAGTTTAGCTACGGATATTGCTAATGTTTTAGGTTTCACTCAAGAAGCTATTCCAGAAGCTGCCAAGACTATTCAATCCTTATATCAATGTTTTATTGACCGTGATTGTACTCAAGTTGAAATCAACCCATTATCTGAAACCCCAGATCATAAAGTTTTAGCCATGGATGCTAAATTAGGTTTTGATGATAATGCTTCTTTCCGTCAAGAAGAAGTTTGGTCTTGGAGAGATGTTACTCAAGAAGATCCTCAAGAAGTTGAAGCTTCTAAATATGGTTTAAATTTCATTAAATTAGATGGTAACATTGCCAACATCGTTAATGGTGCCGGTTTAGCCATGGCCACTATGGATATCATTAAGTTATATGGTGGTGAACCAGCTAACTTCTTAGATTGTGGTGGTACTGCTACCCCAGAAACTATTGAAAAGGCTTTTGGATTAATCTTGGCTGATAAGAAGGTTAATGGTATTTTCGTTAACATTTTCGGTGGTATTGTTAGATGTGATTATGTTGCTAAAGGTTTAATTGCTGCTGCTAAGAACTTCAACTTGGATATTCCAGTTGTTGTTAGATTACAAGGTACCAACATGGCTGAAGCTAAGGAATTGATTGATAACTCCGGTTTGAAATTGTTCGCTTTTGAAGAATTAGATCCAGCTGCTGAAAAGATTGTTGAATTAGCTCCAAAGCGTGCTTAAACAGTTTCACTCCCCATTCATTTTCATTCCTTTCTATTTTCTTTTCTTGTTCTTGTGCTTTACATATAAATCCTTTTTAGATTTTTATCACATTATTTAAAATTATAAAGAATCCTATTTATCAAAATTAGTTGTAGATGCCAATGGGCTATCACTGTCTCTATCGATACTGATGTTCGTACGACATTTTATAAATGTCGTACAATGTCTCCATAGCTCCCAATTTTTTTTCACTTTTCTGTTTGGCAACAAAATTGAAAAACCGCCACCAAAAATTGAAACTCTTCAATTCCATCATCATCAATTGAATTACCAATTCAATTAAGAAGTAAATAAACACGTGATAGATTACACCCGCCCAATCACACATATATACATAACCCAATTGTAATAATAATATTGAAATACTAGAATGTTTTTAACAAGAAGTGAATATGATCGTGGTGTATCCACCTTCTCACCAGAAGGAAGATTATTCCAAGTCGAATACTCCCTCGAAGCAATCAAACTCGGCTCCACCGCCATCGGGATCTCAACCAGTCAAGGAGTGATATTAGGAGTTGAAAAAAGAGTCACTTCTTCCCTTTTAGAAGCTTCATCAATTGAAAAAATCATTGAAATTGATCATCATATCGGATGTGCCATGTCAGGATTAACTGCCGATGCGAGGTCGATGATTGATCATGCTCGTGTGTCTTCATTGACTCATAATTTATACTATGATGAAGATATTCGGGTTGAGAGTTTGACCCAGAGTGTTTGTGATTTGGCATTGAGGTTTGGTGAAGGGGCTGGAGGGGAGAAGAGATTGATGTCGAGACCATTTGGGGTGGCGCTTTTGATTGCGGGTGTTGATGGGGATAAGGGGCCCCAATTGTATCATGCGGAACCTTCTGGGACTTTCTATAGATATGATGCAAAGGCAATTGGATCCGGTTCGGAAGCGGCTCAAGCGGAATTAAATAATGAATATCATAAATCATTGACTTTACAAGAAGCGGAAATATTGGCTTTGAAGATTTTGAAACAAGTTATGGAAGAGAAGTTGGATTGTAAGAATGCTCAATTGGCAAGTGTGACTACTGATGGTGGATTCCAGATTTATAGTGATGAAAAAACTGATGCAATTATTAAAGCTTTAAATGAACAATTAACAGAAGAAGATACTGTGATTAGTTAGTTAGGGGTACAAATTATATTACATACAAAATAAATAAATACTAAAACATATTATATATGTAGCACGTCTATTCAGGATAACTTTGTTCTAATCTATTACTCAAAATAAGTAATTCTCGATGTTTAGTTCCACCGTAGATTCTTATAGTATCCAAAAAACTAGCCAAACAATTTCCAAAATATTCATACCAATAGTAAGAATTCTTATTCAAAGTCTCCAATCTCTTTTCAATCAGTTCAGGATCCATTGGTTTATCAGCAAATGCATTAGGGAACTCTTTAACATATTGAGAATATAATTCTTCATTACATAAGATTAAAATCTTTCTTATTTTAAGAAGATGAGAATTGAAATATATGACAAAATCCATCATTTGTTTTAATTCATTTAATAATTGTTGTTTAGTGACAAAAGAAGCATCCAATATCGTAGAATTTATAGGAAGATTAAAGTCTTAGTTTAAGAGTTATAAATTATTAAGTATAAGGGTTTTTGCTGGAGTTTGATTAGTTGTATTATTCAATTTATCCAATATTCGAGTATCAAAAATCGAATTTGTGATTGACCCCCCACCTCCAAATAAACTCCCACCATTAAAAACCTGTTCTTCAAGACTTATATCTGACCCCAACTCACTCATCAACACAACTTTTTCAATCTCATCCAATAATGTCCGAATTTCTCCAAAATGCATCTCAATAACATCATAATTTATATAACTTTGAATCTCATTAATGAAATTTCGTACCCGAGCATGTAATGTTCTATATCTTAAAATCAATTTCTTAATATTGGCGTCAAATCCTTTATATTTCCAAATATTAGAATAATTCAAATCTTTAGCTACTGAATCATTAATCTTGCCCAAAAATTTCATATTTATTAATAATTTAAACATGATTTCATATCGATATGATAATTCCTTTCTCACGATGAAACTTAACGGGAATGGTAGATCAATACTAAGTCCGACACTCATTACGGACATATTATCGGTTTGATCTTCTTTGGTGGAGGATTGCGCCCGAGATTCTACTGACAGTGCCAGATCTGGAGCTGTACTCTTTTGTTGTTGTTGCAATAGGGATGTGGTCAGTGGGTGCGTGCCATTTTGATCATATGGGAGTTTATATTCATCTGCAACCAAGACGCGTTCAGCTACTTTATAGAAGGATTCTCGATGGATGGAAAAGACTTGTTTTTCTCTTAGGATATCTTCGATTGTCGGTATTGTCCCCACTCGGTTATTTTTATTAGGTTTAAATAAATCATTATAATGGGCTAATAATCGAGAAATTGATATTTTTAATTTATCTCGTTTTAATTCATGAAAGGAAACTTGGAGGAAATTATCAATTTGATAAGAATTATCTAACAAGAATATCAGTTGATAATTTTTAATTAATCGTTTGAAATTATATCCTTGGAATAATAATTTCATAAACATTTTATTGGCTCTTTTGTAAAATTCATCAATTCTAACTTCTAAATCAGGAGAATTTAATGATGTTATCGGTTGAAATTTCTCTCTTAATCGTTTAAAATTATCTAATCCAGTACATGATTTGAATATGCTTAGATATTTCCCAGTATTTAGTATTTTCGATTGGATCTGAGGATTTGAAAATTGATCTAATAATCCATCCACATTAAGTAAGAATAATTCTTTCCAATAATATTCACTCTTAGGTCCAAACATTGTAAGTGAACTAGGTGATACTTTCTCTTGAATCAAAAATTCATTAAATGGATCATCAATTACTCCTTCAATCAACCATTGATTTAACATCTTCACATATCCTTGACTAACTATATCAAATAGATTTCTTAGAAAATCCGACGATATATGATCTCCTTTATAATATGATATTCTTTTTTGGATAAGTTGTAATGCTAATCCTCCTTTACAACATTTGAATTTCCTGGGATTCAAATTAATCATTACTTTTGAATTTTTGGAACTATCTTGAGATCGTAATTGTTCCATTCTATAATGATCTTCACTCATATTAGCCCTTTCTTGTGATATTCCATGGATTTCAATGGCTATTTGATAGAGATGTCTAAGTTTATTAGACACTTTTTGATGCAATAAGTTGCCAAGGGTACTTAAATTAAAGCTTGAATTGTAATTTAATTCATGTTCAATATCTAATATGACACTCTTATAATATTGAAGGAATTCAAATACATATTGACAAAACTTTTGAACAACTTTCCCATATTTTTCAGTATTATAATTTTCAATAAATGACATTAAACCAGAATAATATTTGCCTAATTTATAAATCTCTTTAGTTATCATTTTTAAACTAACATCAAAGTTTTTAGCCACCTTGAAATCCATTCCATGAATTAATGAATCCAATACATTGGGATCATAATGCTGACCATATTTAATATATAATCCTTCTAAACCAATCAATACAAATGTCAAATCCTTAATAATCAATCCTTCTTGAACTCGTAAATCAGTAATATGCAGCGACAATGGGGCCAGTCTCTTTGGAGGACGTTTTATGAATTGAATAACATATGGGGTTAACAAATTCTCTTTAGTATCTGCCCTGGCGTCATTAATATCATCATCAATCATGGTGATCACTATTGGCAGCGCCAATTGATGTTGTTGTTGTTGTTGATGTAGTGTTGATGATTCCTGATGTCGTGGGGAACCATCTCCACCTACTCCACCATTCACGTGGTGGTGTAATATGTTTGACATGCTAGTCTATGTTTTTACTGTTACAATATTGTATTTATATTTTACTATGAAAGAAGAAGAAGAAGAAGTTGTTTGTTTATTTATTTTCTTTCATCAAAATGGAGGTCAGGAAAAACGCGCATTTCAGAAAACACTTCAAAAAAATCTTTTTTCTGCTGAACCCCCAAGTCGCACACTCTTTGACCAGGAGTACCCAACCACCAAGTCTATACCGGCCCAGCCCACTCAGCTAATCCATTCTTCATCATCTTCATCTAAGCTTAATTCTTGTAATAACTTTTCAGTAGCCAATTCTGCTTCTTCTTGTATTTTACGTAATCCACATACATCTTCCAAATAACCAGAATCATTAAGACAATTCTTAATAAATGTCCATCCTTTTTCTTTAAATTGTTCCAATACTCCATCCGAACAACCAGAACAATATTTATAGTTAGGAGTATGTAAATTAGTTTGCTGATATCCATGTAAGAATCCTCGTATTTGATGAGGTATGCTCCCTAATTTAGATTTATCTGTTTGTGTAGCTAATTGTTTATTTGGATGTTGCAAAATCGATACTAATAATTCAACAGCCAATGCAGATGCAATTATTGATCCACCTGGTCTTGTCACGGTACACATTTGATCTAATGTTCTATCGGTTAAACTATCACTTGGAGCAACTACATCATTACAATAATAACAACCTAATCTTTCATCTTCCTTTTGTTTTGGACTACCATGTCTCATGACTAAATAACTATCAAATCCTAATGCGGCATTGATCACTATCTTATTCGTCGCATTACCCAACACGGTAGGCAACCATCTAGATTCACGAGAATCCATTAATAGAAACACAACATCATGTTCTTCAAAGAGATTAACCAATTTCTCAAAATCAGCCCTTTGTTTCTTTTCATCAGTCACTGGATGTCCAATCATGGGAACATCCAAATTAACCCCCTGGGAATTAACATTAGGATATATTTCTTTAAGTGCTTCAGCTGCTTGAATAGCTTTATATTGACCTAATCCATTATCACTAAAGCAATCATTAAACGTAAACAAAGGTTGTCTAACTGGATTGGAATATGATACTCGTCCACTATCCACAAATGTGATATGATGTACACCCCACCCCATTAAGGATCTGGCTACATAACATCCCAAAGTCCCAGCACCAAGAAGTAACACTTTTTGTTCCTTTATGATATCAAGGTTTAAATCGGGGGCAATTCTCCATTTCATGAGTTTGAGATTTAATTCGGTTGCTTGTTCTGCTAATTTGTGAGGATCGATTAAGGAAGCTAAGTCGGCTACTTTGGGGCCTAGTTTGCCTTGACTGGTTCTTTCCCAACCAATTATTTTGGGAGGAGTGTCTTTTGAAAAGTCCTGGAGTTGGAGTTTTTGAGAAAAGGAAGACCCATCTTTACGATATATTATTAATTCGATGTTTGTAAATCCTTTATAGGCCAAATAATATAAGTAGTTCTTTAATTGGATTGTAGCTTTCTTATCTTTATTGGTGCAACTATCAAAGAATATAAAGGTATTACCACCTTGTTGCAACGATATTGATTCCTCGAGTTTATTATCTACCAACTGATACAATTGCTGAAACCCATTTCTTTCATTTAACTTCTTACTTATGACTTCTTCAATATCTTTAGCTAGAGGTAGTAAGACAAGTTCATTAAGGGTTAATGATAAGTTATGTCCTATGCGGTGGGAATAATAAAACTTATATATCTTCAAATCTGAAAAACTCAAAATATGAAACCTATTAAACAATTGAACATCCAACCTATTATCCTCACTAATCAATTTCTCTCTAATCGCCATCCCCCAATCAGTTAATAATTTCTGCTTATCAATAGTCTTAAATTCTTCAATCGTGTTCACATTATATATCTCACCCTTTATGTAGACCTTACTCCTATCTTCAACTCTTTCTTCATTACTAAAACTGTCTTGATCAAGACTTAGGATAGGCACATCATTGAATTTATTTAATTTTTGTGGATGTGGTACAAATCCCCAGATTTCATGACTGGTTGAATCTAATTTATACGTATCCAATTTCAATTGAGATAATTTGATAAAGAAAGATGACTCTATGAATGATTGAGTCATTGCATATTTAGGCTTAGAGCCTGTGGTTGTAGTGTTACTGTTCATTACTAATTTGGTGTACAGAAGGTATAGATGGGCTAAAGAGCTCGTGGGGGAAATTTGTTTCTTGCCTCGCAGTTTAATAAATTTCGCACCAATTCGCACCAACTGCACTTTGTTACGTGAGTCCATAGTATTAAAAGTCAATTGTAAAACTATACTAAGAAAAGAGGGAAACTAATATACAGTACTTGTGTATGCTTATGCTTACGCTTATTCATCTTCTTGCATTGGAGTATCTTCCAAAGTCATATCATCCAATTCATCCAATAATTCATCAATACCAATTTCTGGCGCATCTTCTTCTTCATCAACCTCATCAGTATCAGCATGTTTAATAGGAGGTAAATCGCCTGCTTTATACAAGTTAATAGTTTGTCTTAATTCTTCATCTTCTTCTAATTCTTGCAAGAACAATTCATAATCTCTTTCAGCACGTTCTTGTTCTTGTCTAGCTTGTCTAGAATCGTCATTGGCCACAATATCACTACGTTCTTTAGCCATTCTCTTTAATTTCCATTTTCTATATTTACCCTTCTTTGATTTTCTTGCATAATGTTTCTTAACAATTACAACTTCTGAAATATTATCAGTATCTAAAGTATCCCATAAATCAGAATTAAAATTAGTATTTGATAAATAATATCCCATACATGAATCACCAGGATGTAAAATCCCACCTAAATGAGTTCTAACATAAAATGAATGATCATTTACTCCCATATCACAAGCACGACATACTTCTATATCAGCTAATACATGTTTTCCCCTAATATCACCAGTTGGTTCAACATCCAACACAATAAATTCAACTAATTGAGTAGCATCCAATAATGAAGGGAATGGGGTTCTCCAATAAAGCTGAGCAGATAAATCGGCAACTTGTAATGTATTTGGATCTATAAATTGAAGTGAATTTGAGATTTTGGAACAAAGGACTAATCGAGGAATATTTCCCAAGGAATGAGCAAGTTTTTTAGGTAAAACAACCAAATCATCACGACAAATAGGAGCAATTTCAACCGAATAAGAAAACTTATATTGGGATGACCCGGAATGAATATCAGTACTAACTAATTCTTCTGATCTTTTGCCCTTAACTGGTGCTACTGAACTTAAGAAATCCAACATTTTAGCAGCATGATTCTTTTGAGAATAAAAGAAATCTAGCCCATCTTTAGCTTCTTGAATAGAAATAGTATCAATATGAGCATTATGTTTCAAGATCAATTGTTCTAAATATAAGAAAGTTCTCTTATGTGGAACCTTTTGCCTTATTTGAACAGTAGCTCTCCAAGTATTGGTAGTATATGATTTAGCACAATCAGCACATTGCATAGCTACAACAACATATTCAACTTCGAAAGTCTGTTGAACAATCGTATTTGCCATAGCTTCCCCCTGAACTGTCAACTTGACTCTAATACGACGAGAATGGGGTTCGGTCCATATGAAAGAAGCATCGACTAAACGAACTTTATTCAACCCTTTTAATCTTCTAAGACACAATGCTAAAAGTTCACGAGATTCTAATTCAGCACGAATCCATTGTCCTGGTGGTTGTAAGAATCTTTCACAGTTTCTGCAGAATGATACATTAGCTTCACGGGGAATACCTTCTGTTATATCAACGGTTAATTTTATACAATCATAACACATTACTAACCCTTGGGATCCATCCATAGGAACACCACAGTTACAACATAACACAGTGGCAACTGGACCTTGTTGGTCATGAGAATGGTCAATATGAGTATAATTAGACATGATTCTTATTAAACTCTATAAGTTATAAATGTAAATGGCAAGTTGATTAGTAAAAACGTAAATTTGCAAAAAAAAAAATTAAAATTCCATCTCTCTCTTTCTCATCTGCTCGGAACTTATTTCTTGTCACGTGATATTTTCCATTTCCGGTTTTTGTTGTCAGAAAATTTCAAATCATTTGGAGAACGAGTTGACATTAATGTAAACAGAACTACAAGTATTAAGCAATAGCAATCAATCAAATGGCAGGGAAGAAAAGACATGCAACTGTGAAATCGGACGATGAAGAGGACGAAACTCCATTGAATAAGAAAGTTAAATTGGAATCTAAGGATGATGAGGACTATAATGATGATGAAGTGGAGGAGAATAACAAAGATGGAGAAGAAGACGGGGATATATCAATAGAGATCAAAGAAGAAGAAAAGAAGAACGGAAAAGATGAAAATGGCAAACAGGAGGAAGGAGACGAAGATGAAAATGAAAATGAAGACGAGGAGGATGAAGAGGAGGAAGACGAAGAAGAAGAAGAAGAGGATGATGATGACGAAGCTGAAGAAGAACGAAAACGAACAACGACATTTAATTTTGATGGAGAGGTGTATACATTCAAAGAAAGACCTTCAGTAATTGAAGAAAAAGACGGCAGGATAGAGTTCCGAGTAGTCAACAACGACAATACAAGAGAAAGTTTAATCGTACTAACAGGATTAAAGAATATTTTTCAAAAACAATTACCCAAGATGCCTCGAGAATATATTTCACGATTAGTATATGATAGATCACATTTATCAATGGCAGTTATAAGGAAACCATTAACAGTTGTTGGAGGAATAACTTATCGACCATTTAATAATCGAGAATTTGCCGAAATTGTATTTTGTGCCATTTCTTCAACTGAACAAGTCCGAGGATATGGTGCTCATTTAATGAATCATTTAAAAGATTATGTTCGTGCTACTTCTCCAATCAAATATTTCTTAACTTATGCTGATAATTATGCCATTGGATATTTCAAAAAACAAGGATTCACCAAAGAGGTCACATTAGATAAATCTGTCTGGATGGGTTATATCAAGGATTATGAAGGTGGTACTCTAATGCAATGTTCAATGCTTCCATCTATATTGAGATATCTAGATCTGGGTAAGATCTTATTATTACAAAGAGCAGCCATTGAAAGAAAGATTAGACTGAGAAGTAAATCAAATGTAGTCAGACCAGGATTACAAGTTTTCAAAACCAATAAGAATGTAACACTAGATCCTAAAGATATTCCCGGATTGATAGAGGCAGGATGGCTGGAAGAAATGGATAAACTTGCTCAAAAACCTAAACGAGGTCCACATTATAATTTCATGGTTACTTTATTTTCCGAAATGCAGAATCATCCATCAGCTTGGCCATTTGCAGTACCTGTGAATCGAGAAGAAGTACAAGATTATTATGAGGTTATTAAAGAGCCAATGGATTTATCTACTATGGAACTGAAACTTGAAAATGATAAATATGAATCTTTTGATCAATTTTTATATGATGCAAAATTGATTTTTAAGAATTGTCGGGCATATAATAGTGAAACTACAACTTATTATAAGAATGCAAATAAGTTGGAGAAATTCTTTAATAATAAGATTAAAGATAGTGCTGAATATTCTCATTACTTAGAGTAGGTTGAATAGGTTATGTAATTTATAAAATGTATAAATCTACCCCGGTGTAGTAGACACTCTTTATTTGTAACAAAAGGCAGGAAGGTAATTCCGGTCGGATTTTCTATTTTTTTTTTATTTCTTTTTCCTTTGCTGATGTGAATAAAAGCCGTTGGGTTTTCTTGAAAAAAAAATAATAATCAGAGACATCTTGTAAAATTACGAGATTGAAAAAGATAACACTTTCTTTTTAATAGAAGTAGTAATAGAAGAAGCAATACCACTTTATAGAAGAAACATGCCAGCCAAAGTATATGCCTATCCTGAATCTATAGATGTTGCCAATGCAGTTGGTAAATATATCATTGAACATCAAAATCAAGCAATTGCAGCCAATGGATCTTTCAAGATTGCGTTATCTGGTGGATCATTGGGTAAAGTATTAAAGAAAGCATTAATAGATAATAAAGAAGTTGCTTCAAGCGTTAAATGGGAGCAATGGGATGTTTATTTCAGTGATGAAAGATTGGTGCCGTTAAATCATGCTGATTCTAATTTTGGTTTATTTAATGAATTAGTATTGAACCATTTACCAAGTGAAGTTGGAAAGCCAAGATTAAATGTTATTGATGAATCTTTATTAACTGGTAAAGATGGACAATTGGATGAAAATGTTGATATCTCCAAGGATATTCAAATAGCTAAAGATTATGCATCTAAATTACCAACTGATGGTAAATTTGATGTTATCTTATTAGGATGTGGTCCAGATGGTCATACTTGTTCATTATTCGCGGGCCATAAATTATTACAAGAAAGATCTGAATTAATTGCGTATATTAATGATTCTCCAAAACTCCCACCAAGAAGAATTACATTTACTTTCCCAGTATTAGAAAACGCAACTTCTATTGCATTTGTTGCTGAAGGTGCTGGAAAAGCTATAACTTTAAAGGAAATCTTTAATGATAAAAAGAGTCAATTACCATCTAAATTGGTTAATGAAATTGATACTGGGGTTCAAGTCAACTGGTTTGTTGACAATGCAGCAGTTGAAGGGGTTGATTATCTTACTGCTAAGTATTAGAAAAGTAAAGGTGTTATAGAATTTTATAGACAATTATAAACGACATGAGTTACAAGTATAAGGTAACCCAAGAGCATCATGGCAAGATTAAGAGGGCATCATCTTTAACTTATTCCCGTACTAAATTTTAGGTCGAACTAAACTTCTTGGTTCAAACGGATTTTCAGGGTACTGCCCCGTTTTTTTCTGACTGCCCCCTCTTTAAAACAAAAAAAGATAAACAAATTGTTACTACGTGAAGAAGAAGGGCAATGGGTATGTTCAATTTATTCAAGAGACGAGCGTCGGTATCAATTACTAATGAACAGCCACTGAGTGATATAGGTGTTGCATTATGGTTATGTCCTCGGACAAATACTCAACTCTATGATAAATTAACCACATTGATGAGTTCATTAAATACATTATTTCCGGGTCAACCACCTAAATTTGAACCTCATATTACCATCACCAGTAACATTGTTATAGATCTAGACGATCAATCAAATACAAGAGAAACAGTTGATAGAATATTGTCAGCAAGTGCAACTGCTCTCAATTCTTTACCAAATAATCATAAACAATTAGTTAGTTTGGGGAAAATAAAATCACAACGGAAATTCTTTAAGAAGCTTTATTTTCAAGTTGAAAAGGATCCTAATTTGGTTTCATTGGCTAGAATTATTCGTGAATTATTCGTTATAGTACCCACAGATATTGAAGAAGAGAATATTAGACAAAATCCTCATCTATATACTAAAAATGATGAAGGCAAAACTGTCAAAAGGAAACCTTCCAAGCATAAGGGTGGAACATCTCCACCCCCGACAGCGGTAAAAGAGTTCGATACCACGTTAATTCAACAAATGGCAACCGAAAAAGCTGCCGAATGGTCCCAAACCGAATTTGATCCTCATTTATCATTAGTATACAGCGACATGCATCCAATTGATAATGCATTATGGATGACTATCAAGACTAGAATACAAGATTATTTGAATGTTTCAAGTGAAGAATTGGAGACGGAAGGGGTCAATCTTGGTTGGGATGGTGGTGTTTTAAAATTGGTATTGTGTGAAGGGAACGTTAATGAATGGATAACTTTAGGTAGTGTTGATTTACATTGAGAAGAATGCTTTGTATTGTTTTAGTATAGATTGTTAGACCTCTTTCATAATTAGTAATACATTTGTTTTTGATTTGGTAGACCACATTCCTTCCAGTCTCTATCTCTCTCTGTCTTGGCTCAACGGCTCGCCAATCTAGGACTGAAAAAAAAATTATTATTTCAATCTCATTCGAGATGACCATGTGCATCTCTTATCTGTTTTTCAATCTCTAAATGACAGAACCTTCAAAAGACTTCACATGTGGAACATGTTCGTTGCAATTCGATAAAGCAGAAATACTAAAGCATTTATCATCCACCAGACACAAATCCGCAAAAATAACAGAAACTGATGAATCCCTAGAATGTGAAGAATGTTCAGACACAAATATTCATCAACTATCCATCCTTAGATATGGTCTAACAGACATGTCCTTACTATGTACCGCATGTCTAGCTAAGGATACAGAACCACCTACTGCGACGTATAATCTTTCAAATGGAGCTTTCTTTTTGAAATTAGATCAATATCTAAAACTTCGAGATTTGGAATGTATGAAATGTTCAAATGATGAAAATTTATTCGTGGCAAACACCCCAAAGGAACAATTAGTTTCATGTAAGGATTGTCTAGGTCAATTCGACCCCCTGATTAAGTTCATAAGTGAAGATTCTGAGATCTTTTTATCCGAATTATTAGGAATCAAAGAAGTTGCAGCATCCAAAAAGGCAGGCAATCATGGTAAGAGAAAATTAGGAAGAAAAGGAGCAAGGGGAGGGAAATTTGGAAAGGGGAAAGGTAAAGGAAGAGGTGGCAAGCCAAAGAAGGTAGATGAAGATGCAGAAGCTAGAAGAGAGCATTATTTCGAAAGTAAAAGAACTGCGGCTGAACTCAAATCGGGTTCAACTGTGAAAGCTATTGGTTCTGCTGTGTTTGGGAAACCTGGGAGTGGTGGTGGTAGTGGAGGAGGAAAATTCGGTAAGAGTTTTTCACCCGGGAAGAGTCCGGGTCATAGTGGTAGACTGACACCGGCTACTAGTGGAAGACTGAGTCCTAGTGTGGAAGCAAATAGAGGTAAGTTCACAGGAGGAAAGCCAGCTGGAGGGAAACCGGCCAGCGGGAAATTTCGATTTCGTTTTCGAGGGTTCCGAGGAAGTCTTTTCTTATGTTGACCAGGGTTTGTGACTAAAGAGAATGGAACGAACACTCCGGCTGAAGGACAAACACAGAAAGTAAATGAAGCACCCAAAGAGCGGAGTACTCAAAAACCCAAAGCAAAGAAAGCTCAAACATCAAAAGCTGAAAATCAAAAAATCAAAGATGGAGAAAAAGATGGCAAGAAGAAATCATCCAAGGATAGCTCTAAACAAGACAAGAAGCCTCCTAAAAGCAACGATAAGCCAAAAGACAATAAGAAGACACAGCCAAAGACACCAAAGAATGCACGCTCCAAAGAAGCAAGTCCAGCACCAAATACACCTAATGCTGCACCCGTGTCTGATTCCAATGAACTCGTGCTTCCAGATTATATTACCAAATATCATCCAGCTACTAAGCCTAAACTCAGCTACCCTACATTGAACGACTATTATAGAGAGATGAGTTTTAATGTATTTTTGGAAGATCAATTAACCAACGAACTGAATATCATCGAGCCACAAGATTTAATGATTGAATGGTATGAAGATCAAGATAAAAGGAATAATCAATTCAAATTAAGTGTACCTATGGATCCACAACTTTTAGATAGATTTATTTCTGAAAAATTCAAAAAATTGAAAAAGAACCCATTTCAAGTTGGCCAAGCTATATTTTTGATTTTAAATGATGAGATTCCTTGGTATGGACGCATAGCTGCCGTTGAAGAAGTTTCGACCCTGAAAGGTAGACGGGCTAAGAAGGATGTAATCGAGATGGTTATTAAATTGTTTGGGTGGAATAATCAACCATTACCCAAGAGTGTCCATGCTCAATATTTGAAAGTGATGCCGGCATCTGTTCCAGTTAGTAGAGTTTTTAATGCGATGGCGACATTGGAAAATACGAGTTTTATTAAGATGCTTTTGGGTAATGAACCTATGAAGCAGATTATTTTTAAGAATTATTTGAAGTTTTCTAGGGATACCTTGAATGATTCTCAAAAGGTTGCTATTCAATCTGTTTTGAATAATCCTATTACCGTGCTACAAGGTCCTCCAGGTACTGGTAAAACCTCCACGATTTTTGAAATTATTTTACAATTATTGGATTCGTTGCATAATTATCCAGTCTTGGTTGTTGCAGCATCAAATATTGCCATTGATATATAACGACTTTTCAATAACGGTTGAGTACGCTTTCTAGAAAACTCTTAGCACCGGACCGAAAAGGAAAGAGACTATGACAGATCACATCCATTAGCTCCAATTTGTTTACATCATAAAGTATATGACGCCATGCCAATTCACTACCAGGCTGTTTTGGATGATTTAAGAAGAGGACAACCAAACATTGGTCAGAAAGCATATAAGAAATTCCTTGCCAAACGATTCGAAGTTACAAGAACCATGGTTGCACAAGCGAAAGTCATCTTCACAACTACCGTGGTTGCCGGTTCTGGACAATTGAAATCCATACCAAAATGTCCAGTTGTGATTATGGATGAAGCTACTCAATCATCCGAACCTACCACTTTGATCCCATTGGCTGTGAATGGAGTAGATAAGTTTGTGTTTGTGGGTGATCAAAAACAATTGAGTTGTTTTTCATTGATTCCGGGATTATCATTGTCTTTATTTGAAAGAGTTTTACTTAATGGTTCTTATAAATCACCCCATATGTTGGATACTCAATATCGTATGCATCCCGCCATTAGTGAATTTCCTAGAACTACATTCTATGGAGGTTTATTGAAGGATGGTATAACTGAAGAAGCTAGAAAAATGGAAGGAATCCCCGCAAATCCAGTATATTTCTGGGATACCCAAGGTAGAGCCAGGGAAGAATCAGTTCGTAATTTGTTACGTGAAGATAGAGGGTATACTTATACAAATTCAGGAGAAATCGGTTATCTCCTTCAAGTCTTAAAGAACTTAATTATTGAGAAGAGAATTAAGAAAGAGAATATTGGAGTCATAACCCCCTACAGTGGTCAACGTGATTTAATCTCCTCAATCCTCGCCGATGACGATATTATCAATCCCATGAATGAACAAGTTCAAGTTGAGGTTGATATTGATGATATTAAAAATGATTCTAAACCAGTTACGATTCATATAATATCCGGAATTATGATTGCTTCAATCGATGCATTCCAAGGTCGTGAAAAGGATTTCCTTGTAATGTCATGTGTAAGATCAAATCAAGAAGGAACTATTGGGTTCCTTAGAGATGAAAGACGATTGAATGTTGCACTTACAAGAGCGAAATATGGGTTGATTATGGTTGGAGATGTGGAATGCAACTTTTCTCCACTATTTAACACCTCTAGTATATACTTAATAAACTTCCTTTTCTATTGTATTCACAGGGAGGATGTATTTATGTATTAGAATGTTAGATTTTATAATTTTGTGTACTATTTTATAGATTGCTTAGTATAATCTTATATATTCATTTAGTAGTATAGAGGGACGTGATTAATGTAGTATTCAACGGCGAGTCCACGGATTTGATAATGAAAGAGCAGAGGATATATGTTGTTCTTCAACATGTCTCGGGGGGGTCAATCTGCGAGGGGCCCTCCTCTCAGTGACGGAATTATGCACGTCACGAAGTCCCTCCACCAACTTGACGAAAATCCGCAAGTTAAGTCCTCCAGATGAAGTCGATCCGATAGTTTAGATTATGCATGGTCTATACCGTGTTTGTGGAACTACTACATGTGTAGTTTAAACTTGTGGCAAATTGCTTTGCATATAAAACAATTGCGCTTTTTCTGGCTGCAAAAAATGTCGTACACTGTAAGCATTTGAGGAAATACCCTTCTTAACAGGATATAAATACTTCTTCAAGAAGGTACAAAATCGTCGCAGTGTCCGTTCCGGCAAGTGTACATTTGAAATACATTCAGTATGTTTTTCACCTACAGCTTCAACTACTTATTACCTTCGAATATTAGCTACTTATTAGATCCACCTACTATCACTACATTGAGGCATTGAACAAAAGCACTCACGTAATAAACTGAAATGAAATAGTCATTAATTGTATTATTTCAACGGCACAAACAAAACCAGCATTCTTCCTAAACTACTTATTCTCGTTTGTCTCTTAAAATCACTTTTTAGTATTTCCGGAAACCTTCAAAAAAAAATTTTAACATTTCCACAAAAATCTTTTTTCCTTCCCTATAATTAACGACCTGAGTACATACCGTGTTTATTATTGAAAAAAACAGCCAATTCTCCTTTAAAACTGACTTAACATGATGCTAGGTGTTTAAGAAGACCAGTAAGCAAAAAATAACGACAACTGCAGGACTCGAACCTGCGCGGGCAAAGCCCAAAAGATTTCTAATCTTTCTCCTTAACCTGAGCCTGTTCAACGGAAAAGGCTTTAAAACCTAAAAAAGTGATATAGTGCACTATCAAATTTGGAAAAAAATTCGGACGATCTAGCTGTATTCAAGGGTTCATAGGTATTTGGATAGTATTAATAGGGATCCTTGAATCTATAGTTAAGTTTGGTATTTAATATTTCATGAAGCGGAACAGGTTTTATGAGAACGATATTCATTCGCAAATGGGTATCGTACACCTCCAAGAGTCTTCATAATTATTCTTATACACTCAGTCTCTAAGATGGTTCTGAAATGAGGTTTTAGGC